AAAAAATCCCTTAAAATTGTTATATTTCTTTCCATACTGTACAATTATATTTTATTTATTTAACTCTTTATTGCACCATAAATAAAAATATACAATGACAAGTGAATAATTCAAGTGAAATACAGTAACATAAATACTGATTGAAATATACACATAAAGGTATAAAAGGCGGTCTTATCGCTAGGGCAATCTCTTACAGACAACCTTTAGTTAAAGGAGAACAGATAGAAATGGGCAGGTGGCGTAAGAGTGAATTAATAATTTTTCGTGCATAAAATACAAAATTATATTAAAGTAAATGGCATGTGCGTTAATATTATATTATATTTAATGTTTGTTATATATGTTATAATGCAATATGCTGTTGGTATGTTCCTATGAATAAATAAATCTCTAATTATCTAAATAAAGCATTTTGTGTCTCTCTGTGTATTTGCAAGTACATGGAAGCTGCAGGCAAGTAAACGTGTCATATTTCATATTCTTACGTAAAGCATCAATTCCAAATATTAAAGTTTACTTCGAATAGTAAAAGTTTTATTTCCCACATGCCGGCCGAGGGTCGTGCGGTCCACGGGATATAAACATTCCCGCAGACGTAATAGAATTTTTACTTACGATGGATGGCCCCCACCTGCAGGACGCGCCATACATACAAAATGTTTGGTGGAATATTTATGATATAACACGACGAGGTAGAACGACGACGGCGAGAGGTGCTATCAGAGTAGAAACAGTTTGGAAACTAGTTATGTTAGCGAGTAACATAAATGCTAGTTTCAAACTAGAATGCCGGTTATATGCAAACCAAATAACAGCTATTATGAGGTTCAATTGCATCTAGAAGGGGGGAAAGGGATTGTTAGTAATGGGATCAAATAGCCCTATTACTAACAATATACCCTGTCAGGTCGATCTCCACGTGATTCCCCCTGGAAACCGTCGTGACTAGTTCTAGTTTAATTCGTCAGGATGGGCTAACTGACTTACTTTCATCTTCATCTGTCACCCCTTACTGGTACCCCGCCGGTGTATACCAATAGCGCAGACGGAGTTACCATACCATTATCACCCATTAAAAAAAATGGCATCTAGACCAGTGTTTCCCAAACCTTTTTGTGCCACGTCCCACTTGAACATTTCTAAAATTTTTATGCCCCCATACATAATTTTTCCCGACAAAGTTTACTTGACGATTCTAATCGCCCAGTTGATATTTTGGTAACGTTAAACGAAATTTTACCTAATAAGTATATACAGCATTTTTTTTTATTTACTTTCTTTACGTAGCATTGCATTTAAATGGCCCGGAGCAAGAGGGTTAAAATCGCTTCGAGTCCATTTTCTAATATTTTTTTTTTGATGGGTGAAAATGATATGGTAACCCCACCTGCGCTAAAGGGATACGCTGGCGGAGCACCAGTGAAGGGTGATAGATGAGAATGAAAACAGGCCCGTTAGCCCATCATGATGAATTCATCAGGAATTAAACATGATAGTTTTCAGGGAGAACCGCGAGGAGGTCGAGCTGGTTGAGTATATTGCTAGCAATGGGATTCTCAGTCTCCATTACTAACAATCCCTCCCCCCCCCCCTATTTTCTAATTGCCTTGTATAACACTATTACTTTATTTTCAGGTGATATTTTAAGGAAATGCTTTACATTTTCTTTATGCAACTTAGAATGGCAAAAAATCTGACGACCCACCTGATGGAAAGCGGTGACCGTCGCTTACAGACATGAGTAGCACCAGGGACAGCCTTACACAGGAGTAACCTTTCTGATGGTAAACGATTACTGCAGCTTGTAGACGCCTGTAAGAGCAGGAGTGCTATAAATAGGTTTTTTTTTTTTTTTTTTTTTTTTTTATAGAACTTAGAATGGCAAACAAGCTGACGGCCCACCTGATGGAAAGTGGTATCCGTCGCCTATAGACATGAGCAGTACCATGGACATAACAGAGTATACTGTTTCGCCCATGATACCCCCCATGCGTTGCCATTCCTGAGGACTCAGGTGTTATTCCTCTGTACCCAGTAAATTCACGCCATATCCCACCCTTCAAACCGAAACACAGCCATGCAAACACAACTGCTTCACGGTTGAAACACGAATGGGACAGAGGTACCCAAGCAATCGACTTTTGTACAAAGTCTCCCTCTGGTTACAGTATAAAGTCGAATAAATTAAATTCCTTGTAAAATGAAAACCTGCCGAGATATTTCCAAGAGACTACAGCATGGGGTTCTTCAAAAAAGGGGTAAAGAGGTTTCTTTAGGGTCGGCAACGCATACGTAATGCTCCTGGTATTACAGGCGTTCATAAACATCGGTAACCGCTTACCATCAGGTGGGCCGTATGCTTGTTTGTCACCTCAGTGGTATAAAAAAATTCTAGAAAAGAAATTGAATGTTTATTTCTTAAGAAACATGGGTTGAATGAAAATTTGAGCATTCCATAATTTGCTAATTAATAATGCTTAAATTTCCTAATTTTGCAAATGGACCAGAAAAATTTGACAAAAAGTTTTGGTAAAAAAAATCACTTATTTGGTAACCACCAACTCTCATAGTGGATAGTATTTCAGTTTCAACCACTTTTCATGAAGATTTTTATTATGTCAACACTTAACTTTAATAGATGCAGGTGACTCGGTACCGTTCCTTATGGCGGTCTATGGGGGAGGCCTACGTCCAGCAGTGGACAAATAACGGCTGATATAATGATGACGATTCTTTTAAATTGTACTAAATTTATCATTATATTTATTTATTTATACTATATCGCATTAATTCTAAAAACACAGGGGGAAAGGGATTGTTAGTAATGGGGTCTAACCGACCTATTGCTAGCAATACACACTGTCAGGTTGACCTCCAAGCGGTTCTCCCTAGAAACCATCGTGGTTAATTCTAGTGAAATTCGTCACGATGGACTAACTGATCTGCCTTTTCACTTCTACCAATCATCCCTCACTGGTGCCCCGCCAGTGTATACCGATAGCGCAGGCGGGGTTACCATTCCATTCTCATCCATTAAAAAAAATCTAAATGTAATGTGATACAATAATTTAAAATTGTTTCACAAAAAAATAAACATTAAATAATAATTTTGAACAAACCACTTGTTTTAAAAACTACTGATTTTTATAAAATTTCTTTGGGACCAATCTGATATCATATCTTTTTAGATAAAAACACATTTACTAAATCGGTTTATAAATGATTGAGTTATGAGGTAACAAACATAATAGAAAAAATACACCCGAATTTTTTTTTTTGATGGGTGAAAATGGTATGGTAGCCCCGCCTGCGCTAACGGGATACGCTGCCGGAGCACCAGCGAAGGGTGATAGATGAGAATGAAAACAGGCCAGTTAGCCCATCATGATGAATTCATCAGGAATTAACCATGATAGTTTCTAGGGGGAACCGCGAGATAGTCGACCTGGTTGGGTATATTGCTAGCAATGGGATTCTCAGTTTCCATCACTAACAATCCCTTTCCCCCCAATACAACCGAATTAGGAATCTCTTTGTTTTTTTAATCGGTTGAAAAGCGACTTTATCGCCAAACAATTTTTTCCGACAACAAAAACAACCTAATATTAAGAAAAAATAAAATACAAAAAGTAAGTATATTTTGTTAAATTATTGTCACAAATGTGGCAAAGAGTAGCGCAGCGAATTATGGAAGTGGCGTGTTCAGGCTGCCAACTGGATAGTTGTGGCGCGGCTGGCAACGGACCGCCGCTTGCTAAGCGTCCCGTCCTATAATCCGGCGAGGTATAATAAGACACTGAAATGTTTAAGGGCTAGGAAATATATTTGAATTTGTAAATATATTTTAGTCGACTGCCAAATAAGTCTGTTATATCCATGGTACTGCTTATATTTATAGGCGACGGTTACATCCATCAAGTGGGCTGTCAGCTTGTTTGCCGTTCTAAGTTGCATAAAAAAAAAGTTTTAAAAATTAATGTAAGATGCCCAGCAGTGACTATTGCAATATAAAATCTACTATTGATACCGAATCATTCTCATATAGCACAAGTAGATTTTTTTAATGGATGATAATGGAATGGTAACCTCGCCTGCGCTAATGATATACGCTGACAAGGCATCAGTGAAGGATGATAGGTGAGAATAAAAAGACTGGTCAGTTAGCCCATCGTGATGAATACACCTGGACTTCAACATGATGGTTTCCAGGGGGTACCACGGGGAGATCGACCTGATAGTTTGTTTCTTTATTTATTTCTTTATTTATTTTCTTATTTATTTATTTTCTTATTTATTTATTTTCTTATTTATTTATTTTCTTATTTATTTATTTTCTTATTTATTTATTTTCTTATTTATTTATTTTTTATTTATTTATTTTTTATTTTCTTATATATTTATTTTTTTTATTTATTTTATTTTGTTATTATACTAACAATCCCTTCCCCCCATACACAAATAGATTGCGATCCACAATCAAGAGCAATACATCAATCGTAAAAAATTCATATAAGTCGAATTTGAAAATTTTGTACAAAGTACCTAGCTCTTTTATATATACACGCACAAACGCGTGTTCTAAATATTTTTATTATTATTCTTTCTTTAAATAGTTGTACAACACTTAAATGCATACATTTATGTTTTAATTTCTTCAATGTATGGGCGGTGGTGACTCTTACATACTGTAATGTTTACAGACTAATAATTTCACCGTCACTTTAAAATAAATAAAACGCTATTTCAGGACGCGAGATTTCTTTATTTTAAAACACGGACACTATAATATTATGCTCTACAACTAGGCTTTTGCTGGAAATTCAGTCAAATTTGATGTATGGGTTCAATTCTTGCCTACTGGAATGGAAATCTAATCTTGCAATTTCAGTTTTTAATAAAATCAGCTCCCTTACTGTACTCCTTTGAGTACTTACCGCCTTTTTTACTAGTTATTTATTATATATATAAGGTACACCTTTGAGAAATAAAACAACCCATTGTATATATAAAAATATAATATTTACTGAAGTAATTTATACAACAGTGCACCGAGCTTAGAAGACGAGTTCGACTTAACATGCGTTAGTATTATGACTATATCGAAAGAAAAAAACATCAAAAGAATAATCCCAACACATACCAAACATATACAAACGTTGCTAAACCGAGAATACGATATAATCGATTATAATTACGGTACCATCGATTAACCCGTGGAGCGATCGACTTTAGGCTAGCTCGCTACACCTACAGCGTCACCGATTTTTGGAATTACTAAATTTCGATTAGAAAAGCCTAATTATAAATTTAATGAAAATGACGCTGCAAATTCGAGTTATGCAACAGACATTGCTGCATTAGCCGGTACCACATTTTGTTCGGTACAGCGCAACGTATGATGCATAAACGCTCGAGGGATTAACCGACATAAACCGTATCATTGTTTACCATTGATCACCAATCAAAAAATGTATGTTTCAAATCGATTTGAACAATCAAATAAACGAATCCATATTTAGAAGTGAACACTATCGATCAATCGATAATCGATTATTAGATCAACGAATTACATGATGCGTATGTGTTGTAATGCTTATGTTTATAGGTAACAATTCCCAATTTGTGTTAGCATGTTTATCATATCTGTACTATAAAAAAATGTTCAATGAATCTATCTATCTATCCCATTTAAGAGCTGCGCTCTTGTCGGTGGAGCTCTTGCCACTCACTACGATTTTGTTATGTACTGAACTATGTTGTTTCATTTGAGATTTCACGAAGTATGTAATTCGTAGATGGCATGATGGGTTTCGTCAGTAAACAGCAGATCTTGGGTCTAGTCAACTCGGCCACCCCTGAACATGAACGATCATTTTCCAACATCAGTAATAAAACAAATATTAATGTCCTTTGACAAAACTTAAAGAATTATATGCTTAATTCTAATTCCCATAGAGATTATTTCTGATATGATAACAATTCCTTCAATATCAATGTATGTGTCAAATATAGGCACAAAAACTTCTTTCCTTTTTCTTTAATTAGTATATTTGAGAAATAATTCTTGTAAGAAGCAATTTACAGTGGTACCTGGCACTTTGGTTATGTTTTGTTAAGAGAGAGACTGGCTGAAAACCAGCGCTGTGCAGCTGTTCACATTGCGCTGGGAGCTGGGACACTCACAGCATCAGCTGAGTTGATTCCTACTGCCAAGTATGGGACACTTGTATTCTTTCTTTCTTTATTCTTTATTGTACACAAAACATACTGTTAATCACAATTCATTTGAAACATAATGTACCAAGGCCAGCTTATCTCTAATAAGAGATTTCTTCCAGCAAAACCTTTTCATGTAGATTGTGTTATTTTAAAAGTTGTATGTTTACTGACAATAAATGTTTCTATTCTATTTTAAATACAATGCAATAGAATCGTGTCATTGACATCCACGATAGTTGAACACTCCAACACACAATATACAAGGCAAAGATTTGACACAATTTCTATCAAATATCATTTAGGATAATTTAGGAAGCAAACACTTCTGAATTTATTCGAGCCTAGGTGTTCTGGATCGTGCCTCCAGAAGTTCGTAGCCTGGTTCCTCACAAAACAGGGTATCCTAGCGAGACCTGGCGATTGCTGTGATTCTGTGACACTTATTATTATTGTCCAATGGAGATGAAGTGGACGTCAAATATAAGGTAACTTCCATTCAGGACCAGCATTGTTCTACTAGACTTGAAGCCCCTGGACAAGTTTTTAACAACACCACTATTTGACGGCAATAAGCCATTGTTCCATAAAAAAAAAACAACATCAATAGTGGTAAAATTAAGTTATTTTGATTAAAAAATAAAGTACTAAACCCATTTTGGAAAAATTTCACTAAACCCATTTGGGAAAAATTTCCATGGAACCCAGTCTGTAAGTGTATCATATTAGATAAAATAAAAAAATCCAAAGCGGTTTACAACTGACGGAATTGTGAAATAATAATAAAAAAAAAACCACCAAATTGTTTTACTTGTTAAAAAGTAACACCACTGTGTTATGAACCTGTATTTATGTTACTGTACAAAATGTTCAACGGTGTTCGTCCATTCACCTAAGGTCTGTCACTACATCTATTTCACGTCACAAATTATCCCATTACCCCTCGTGCGCACAGGCCATAAGGTCCAATATTCCGTGGCAGGCAGTGTTGTGCGGCCGAGTATCATCGGCGCGTGTTGACGGTGCGCTGTACGGACGACATGCCGTCCACGAACTTGGTCCGGAACAGCACGTTCGCGTTATTGAACATGCCGTCTTTTAACGACACTATTATGAACTGGAACAAAGAGAATCATTTCAATAATTTATGGAATTATGACCACGAATCTATCAGATCCTACAATCCTAAGACATTAATAGCTGTTCCTGGTGGTTTTGCTCGCGTGATGTCGTGCTTCCCCTTAAAAATGTAAAGTGTAGAAATTGTCAAAAATCCTCTCTTATCATCATCTGAGTGGATGCGTTGATTATATAATAGATTGTTTCAAATCTCAACATTTTAAACTTTGTAACTTATATACTTTGTAAATTATTTTAAAAATACAAACAATATATTAACGCTTTAATTTAAAAGTACAAATATGAAATTGTACTCATTTAGAGTACAATTTCATAGCTGTATTTGATAATTTTTGTTATATATATAGTACTGTAATAACCTATGAATGCTCTATGATGCCTCCAATTAAATTTCAATTCAATTAAATTTATTTCTAACAATAATACAGGGTGGCCCAAAAGTCCTTAGAAAAGTAAAATTTGAATTAAACGAAAACGGCGCGCGTGAGCGGTGCAGGGGAAGCGGGGCCAGTAACTTCGGTTTCTGGGAATTTAGTCACGATGGAGCGTTTCACCGGAGCGGACCGTGCGTTTTGTGTGCGCGAGTTTTATCAAAACAACAATTCGGCAACCGTTGCGAGGCGTAAACGCGTTACTGCTACTTCGGAGCGATATGTGGCCATGATCGAGGAGTTTTTCACACAAAAATTGCAAAACTTTCCAGGCTTTAATGCCCAAACATGGTTTCAACAGGATGGAGCAACTTCCCACACCTCCAATACTGCTATGCCCGTTATCCGTCAACTTTTTCCAAACAAAGTTATCTCTAAGAGAGGAGACATTTCCTGGCCACCACGTAGCCCGGATCTGACTCCAATGGATTTTTTTTTGTGGGGCTACCTTAAGGCTAAAGTGTACGACTCTAACCCGCGGTCAATTAATGACCTAAAAGAAAACATCCGCAGAGAAATGGCAAGCATTTCAGCAGTGACGTGACGCGCAGTCATCGACAATTTCAGAAGGCGTTTGCAAGAGTGCCGTGACTGTAACGGATTACATTTGGACGACGTTATTTACAAAAAATAATTCCCGTTTTTCTAGCTATATTTACAAATAAAAATATTATTCATAGTGTAATTAGTTTTATTTTAATTAATTTTTTTCATTACTAAGGACTTATGGGCCATCCTGTACATCGTGTGGAATATTTTTTTATAAATTATAAGAAGATATCATAAAATAATTTCCCACCAACAATAAGCTATCATCACACAGCTTACAACTAAATATCAGAAACTGATAGGCATTCTAACTGGATACTGTTTACCAATGTTTCTTCATCGAAGTTTCTAACCAACCGCTCACTATGCAGAGGAATATTGAAACTGTGCTGTGCTCATGCTGATGGAGCACCAGAGATTGGTCGTCCAATAGGTGGCATTGCTACGAACAACAGAATCCCTTCCAGAGTCTTGCAGCAATCTATGTCACCTTTTGACATTTTGGAAGAGTACAATTTTGCTGGAATAAGCACTGTTCACTAAACAAATTGTTCTTCAATGAAGTTCTAACCACTGTGCAAAATACATACAGAGACTGAAAACACATACTCATGTTAATGAAATCCCTCTGGGACTTTATCGATCTGGGACTTCATTGGTCAACTAAAGGACGCGATTGCTGTGAATACCAGAATCCCTTCCAGAGTCTTGCAGCCATCTATGTCACCTTTTGGCATTTTGGGAGTCCAAATTTACTGGACTAACCATATTCTCACACTCAATGTCCCAATAGCGAGGCGAGAGTCCCAGACAAACTAACCTGTGAGTGCTTGAAGTGCTCTTTGAGCATCTGTCCGATGTTCTGTGTGTGCGACAGGTCGAGCGCGGCGTCCACTTCATCAAGGATGTAGAGCGGCGCCGGCTTGAACAGCAGCATGGCCAGCACCAGCGACAGTGCCACCAGCGACCGTTGTCCACCTGACAGCTCGCCCAACGACTCCTTCCACGTGTTGTTGAAGCCCACCTTCACCTGATCGCACAGTCGATAGAGTAAACAACAAGCTAGTAAAAGAATGGAACTTATTGTACTCTTAAATGAAAAATTGTTACATGAAATATGTGGTTAAAGCAAAGAAAACCTTTTGCTAAACATGTGGAGCACCTAAAAATATTTCCTACGCAAAAATCCATTTCGCAATAAACATACGACACTTTATGTTATAAAAAAAAGAAGAGGGAAATTTAAAATTAGAACATTCTTCTCTTAACATAATTAACTTTATTTCTAAGATAATAAATAAAATGTGGCCAGTCTTTTATCTATAAGATTTATTTCACAAGACTTTCTGAGTGGCCAGCTCTAATGTAAAAAAATTGAAATTAGAACACTAATATTTTCCCTTTAATTCAAATTGTAGCTAGCCAGTGTGTATACCTCGAGTCCGTCGAGCACGGACTGGCCTTGCGGGGGCCGCAGACAGGCTTGCGCGCCAGGAAGCAGAGCGCTGAAGATGGAGCCGAAATCGCGGTTGACCTGTTCGCAGGCGGTCACCAGCGTGCGCCGCTTCTTCTCGTCCAGTTCCGCCATCACCTGCACCAGCTTCGCGCGGTCCGCCTCCACGATCTTCTTCTTGCGCATAACGTCCTGGTACTGTGATCACACAATTGCTATTAGTAAAAAGTAAAACAATTAAACTGTTCCACAAAATAAAACAGACTTCAATTTTTTTTATACCACAAAGGTGGTAAAACAAGCATACAGCCTGTCTGATGGTTAACAGTCACTGAAGCCTTTAATTGTGGTAAAAGTTATTTTTATTTAAAAACAAACTACTGAATCGATTTTGATAAAATTTCTATGGGTCCAATCTATATACCAATTATATGCAATCAGATAAAAAAAAGAATTTCTGAAATCAGTTTACAATTGATGGAGTTTTCAGTTAAAAAACAAAAGAAATTGTTAAAAATAAGAATCCTTTGTTTACATTTTTTTTATGCAACTTAAAATGGCAAAAAATGTACAGCTTGACTGATGTTAAAGTGGTAAACAATGATTCTAAGACATGAACAGCCTCATAGACATATTGGGATTGTTCACAGAACTTGTAATCACCTGATGCGTTATCAATCCTAAAAAATAATGTATTATGCCTCCATATCCAGCAATTTCATCGTCATTTATTTATTTATTTATTTCTGTGGTACATCCACAGATTACAAACAAAACTTTTAACAATAGAATACAACAATAGCATTATAAGTTTACAATCCAATTATAGTTGTACTCAACATTCACAGAGATGAAACAGAATAGGTTGATTTTTAATACAAAAAAGAATGAATGATAAAAACTATATAAATGTGACGTGTCAAACTTAATGGTATAGCGCTGAATAGGGTGTATAAATTTAAATATTTAGGACATCAGTTGGCCTCGGATCTCAAAGATGATGATGACATTGAACGGGAGCGGAGGGCGCTGGCGGTGAGGGCGAATATGATAGCATGCAGGTTTGCACGGTGCTCTAGACAAGTTAAAACTACGTTATTTAGATCACACGCCGAGCATCGTGTAGATTGTTTTTATGGTCACTATGCGAAAAAGGTACGCATCCCTGGAGCGCAGAATACATAGTAGCGCCAACAGCATCCTGAGTATGATAGCGAGCAGGCTGCACTGTGTGTACGTTAATCACTGCTGCGCATTTTCCAATGGAATTGTGCAGCGGTGATTATTTGTATATTATTTAATATATTATGTGTATTGTGTATGTAAATTTACTAATATTAGTTTTAAGAATAACTAACTACTACTAATAAATATTTAATGGACCGAAAAAGTCCGAAATAAAAATCTATCCTTCAAATTGAAATACATAGAATAAAAAACGAGTGGGAGATAGAGACAGTAATAATGTGAATGGAGGTGGTGGTGGTGGTGGTGGTGGTGGTGGTGGTGGTGGTGGTGGTGGTGGTGGTGGTGGTGGTGCGGCGGACCTGTTCCTCCTCCTTGCCGAGCAGCGTGTGCGCGCGCGCGTTGAGGCCGCGCGCCAGCTTGTCGCGGCGCGCCTGCAGCTGCTGCAGCCGCTGCGCCGCCACGGACGCGCCTCGACCACCGAAGTCGTACAGCCCGCCCGCCGCGCCGAAGTACTGCCGCTCACTCGCTATCCATGGATTCTCGTTCTCCAGCGCCTTCATCTATGTACCAAGGTAAAACGCCACTATATCCGAGTCTGTCAAATATCCGGCTCGAAGGACCAATATTAGCAGTATACTTACAAACCTCAGGTCACAGTATAAATAATACTACTATAAAATACAGTGTAGACACTCCCTGCCGTCTACCATACTCTAATTAATGTCTCTAGTCAACGCTTCAATAGCTCCCGGTTTCAGAAAAGGATAGAGTTCAATCCACATTATATGACATATGAAAGCACAAACTTTTCCCACGCTATCCCTAACAATACACGCAAACATTATCACATGTACAGAGGTTACTTGTTTTTATAGTTGTTATAATCACAAATAGACGTTTTTATAGTCCGGGTCCAAAGTATACTAAATACCTATGTTAGTTAAACTATTGCTAGGAAAATTGTGATCGTTTACCAATTGCGAAACCATTTTAAATAATGATAAAAATAATAAAAAAACACACAAAGTTAATTTTATCATACATATATTAACACGAACCCTCTTCTCGCAGTCGGCGGCCTCGGTCTGCAACTCCTTGATCTTGTAGTCGAGCTCCTTGATAGCGAGCTGCAGGTCGCTGCTGGTGGCCGCCAGCCGCTCCTTCTGCTGTAGCAGCCGCGAAATGTCACTGTTGCGGCCCGCTATCTCCGCCTTCTGCTTCTTGATATTTGCTTGCATTTCCTTCACTGCTTCCTGTTGTATCCAGTATAGTGTTTGAATAAACAAAACCTTACATATATTCTATGAATGTTTCTCTTAATATCAACCTATCAGGCCCATTACAAGGTAGTCAGAGAGAAATTTAATAGGTTTGTAAAAAGAAAAGAAAATTTTTAATTAAAATTAAGTTGACATAGGAATAGACACCCTATATATAATAAAAATTATTGTGAAAATCGCTTGATAATTTGCAACGTATTCATGTAAAATAGCCATTAAAAAGTCTAATTCAATCATCTTTAATCAAATAGACTTGTTTACAAACACTATTAAATAATTATTTTTCTTTAAATCTACTGCACGGTTTGGAAAATTGTAATATGCTGAGAAGAGCCCGCAAGAAACTCGACAGTTACTCTTTTATAAACAAACAAATTCAGTTTTTTTTTTATACAACTTAGAATGGCTAACAAGCTGACGGCCCATCTGATGTAAAGTGATAACCGTCGCCTATAGACATGAGCAGTACCATGGACATAACAGAGTATATGTACATTGCCATTCCTGAGGACTCAGGGGTTATTCCTCTGTACCCAGTAAATTCACGCCATATCCCACCCTTCGAACCGAAACACAGCCATGCAAACACAACTGCTTCACGGTTGAAACAAGAGTCCCCTTAAATACTTCTTGCATAATCATGCATGCCAAATTTAGCTCTAATTATCACATTAGAGCTAAATTTGGACATGGATACAAAGATACAAATATGTAATCCTATAACAATCTCACCATAGCTTTCTCATGTTCGTCCTTCGCTTCCTGCAGCGCGTTCTGTAGCGTCGCAGCCGATTCCTCGGTCTCGTTGAGGGACTGTTCGCTGCTGGCGACCGCTGTCTCCAGCTCCGAAACTTCGAGCCGCAGCGTCTCGAACTCCTGCTCGCGTTGCTTCCACGAGCTGCTGTGCTGTTCCGCGTCCTTCTTCGCTTTCTTTAGAGCCTCTTCCGCCTTTTTGAATTCCCTGTTAACAATATTTAAAATTTAAATTCCCATAAAGTATTCCAAATATGGATATATCTGCAATCAACATTTGGAAATTTTGAGCCTTGCAGAATAACACCACGCGAAGTCATTTAGTATAAGTCTTATCCAAGTTATTTGTCATTTTTTGATCTGATTTCTTCACTTTTGACAGTAGAAGATGCCTTTAAGAGTGTGCAAATGATTTGTATTCCATCCTGTAGCATTGTGCGGCACATGTAGGTGTAACGACTGACCTCTCGCGGTGGCCCTTGATGTCCTTGACCTTGAGCTCGAGTTCCCGCGCGCGCGCCGCCGTCTCCTTCTGCGTCTCCTTGTCGCGCTCCACTGCCGCCGTCAGCTCCTTCACCTACATTTATTTATTTTATAAAATATAAGTAAAGATAAATGTTTAGCAAAACAACAGTAAATATTAATATAATATTAAAAAAAAAAAACCAAACTTCATCCTCCAGAAAACATAACTATATAAATTAAATGTAATTTTTTTTTTACTGCTCTAAGAGAAGCTATTACAAGTAGACAGTCAACATTATATATTACTCCAAACAAATGTTTGGTCCAGTCATTGTAGAGTCTTCACAAGTATTATTCCTTTCTGCACATCTTGTATCGTGTTCTTAAGTGGCGATTTCGTGCTAGAAAACAATGTATACTAAATAAAGGAACACTTTACCTACGAGTCCACTAGAGGTCTATATTTAGCCATGGACAAAAAAAATGATAATGATGTTCCACAACATTAAAACTTTTTTTTAAAGAATGATAATGGAATGATAACACCGCCTGCGATAACGGTATACGCTGACGGAGTACCAGTGAGGGATGATAGGTGATTATGAAAAAGCAGGTCAGTTGGCGCCTCATGATGAATACACCTGGGATTCAGCACGATGGTTTCGAGGGGTGACCACATACAAGTCGACCTGACAGGGTATTCTGTTAGCGATGAGACTGGTAGACTGCATTATTAACAATCCCTTCCATTGCCCCTTAGATATAAGAATAGATTACAAATGGACCTGAGCGCGCAGCGTCTCGATCTCGGCGTGCGTCTGCGCATGCTCGGTGGTGGCCAGCCGCGCCTTGATCACCTCCAGCTCGTGCGACATCATCTCGTGCCTGTTGGCCATCCATATGTCAAATGCAATCAAAACTCTTAACTAGTCAAAAGTACTAATAACCAATCATTTTCAGTCACAACCACTATTGTTATATATATATATATATATATATATATATTTACACGGTACTTGTTTTACACGTTTTCGCTTTTACACGGTTTTCCAAATAAGTTTCTTTTTTTTTTTGTTTTTATCGCACTCTACTAAATGCTACTGTCTTTGAACTCGTGCGCTGTGTACACATCTCACGGGGAATCTCGAGCTTGTGTGCTGACTTGCTGCACATGCACACTGTGTCTGTATTTTTCATAAAATTAAAGTTTTATTCGGAAAATTGTATTTGAGTGAAAGTTTCACATCATATTCGTAAATTACAAAATATATATATATATATATATATATATATTTGGCATGGGTCTCTTGTTACCAGACGATATAAGCCTACATATACTATACTAATCAGGCAGTTTGATGTAATGGTTTCTTTTCTTTAAATTGCTATATTGTAGTTTATTTCCATAAAAATCGATGGCATAAAACTAGCAATATACAACCAGCTTTTTACACTACAAAATGGATGTCTTGGCCACTCCCTAAAAATGGAGTTTGACGAAGCGAACACACCCCCTGCCTTGAAATTTTGTTTAGTGTAAACATGTCAAGAAATGCATTTTTATACAATTTAAAACGACACATAAACTGACCTAGCTGATGAAAAACGATAACCAGTTGTCTAACCAGCAGTAATAAGTGGTTGTCTGATTGTTTAGCGAAAAGGCCACCTTTTATATCGCTTCACGTTAATATGTACTGTATTTATTAATTTTCTTAATGGTGCAATAAAGTGTGAATAAATAAAAAATAACAATTGCCTATAGACAAGAACAGCATCGAAATACAGTGTGCCCATCTGGATCCTTCTAAGGATAACAGGACATAACCAATACGCTCACCGGAGATCGTCTTCGTCCAGTATTGAATGTACTCACTTCTGTTGCACAGTGGAGTACTTCTCAGCGGCGTGTTGCATCGAGTTCAGCTCCGCGGTACAGCGTGACAGCTGCTCCTCCATCTCTTGCAGCTGCTGCTCTTGTTGCTTCAGCTCTTGCAGCTGCAGCAGCACTGACCCACCCTACGTAAAATGAAACCCCATACATAATATGTAAATAACTTTTTCTCAAACATGCTTGGAAATGTGAGCGTTATTTTGACAATCTTCTTTTAAATACTACCGTAGCGGCCGGCAAAAGTTGTATGAAAATCCATATTTGTCGTGTTTTACGGCCAGATAAATTACTGTGTAATCTCATATCTGTCCTGTAATTTAAAAATGGAATGACCTTTTACTTCGAAACATGGCTACCACGGGGGTAACTAATAAAAAGTTTTATTTAAATGTCTGGCTTGCAAATAGAAAGCTGTTAATTGAAAAAAAAAAACAAAGGAACATTATGGCGCGTGAAAAATTATTATTGTTCGTTATTCGTCATTGAACTTAAAAAGTAAAATTGTGTTTTTGATTTCCGCGCATTGTTTGAGAAAAGTACTATACAAGCCTTGACCATAACTAGGCATTGTTGTTGGCCGCTGCAGTATTGAACTATTTTATTTTATGGCGCCGCACGCCGGCGGAGGAGGTGGCGCTAGTACTAGGGAGGCAGAAGGCGAAAGGCGACAGGCGGCAATAGCAGCAGCAGGTACCTGCAGACGAGCGCCGCCAGACAGCGTGCCGGCGGGGTCGGTGACGTCACCGTCCAGGGTGACGGCGCGGCGCCGCACGCCGGCGTGGAAGGTGACGCGGCGCGCCGTCTCCAAGTCGCGGCACACCAGCGTGTTGCCCAGCACCCACGCCACGGCGTTGTGCGCCTCGGCCGGGTACGACACCAGGTCCAGCGCCAACTGAACGTTCTCGGGTCCGCCGCCCTGAACAATATGCCACAATTCGTTACAAACGTGCACAGGAAAATCGACAAAATAAAATGTTGTTACATTTACCAGTATTGCAAACAATACTATTTTAATCAAAATGCACTCCTTAATCAAAATATACAAGTAAATAAGTAATCTCTTGTAGACTATGCAAGAATTAGCTAGTGTATCCCAAGGATCGATTCTCAGCCCCTAGCCAAGTTCATGAGAATTTTTTCAACTATTTTATGTAATTAAGTTACACAAAATCGTCAAAATTTACCAATTGAGTACTCCACTTAAAAAACTGACTACGATTCTATATGCGATCAGCCATAATGGTTACGTACGATCTGCTGCGCGAGCCGCAGCGTGGCGGCGTCGATGACGTTCGCGGAGATCTTGTTGAGCGGGATGATGGTGGTGCGGGTCTGCAGGTTGCCGCGCTGCAGCAGCAGCTTGCTCGTCACCTCTGTATCCACCACCACATTGTATAACTGCAAATAATTGTGTGAAAACAGGTTACTCTCTAGTGACAAGTTTCTAAGCCGCCTGCGTTATACACAAAGATCTCTGACTTGGCTCACTAAACAAGAACTTTAGATGTTTTCCAAAATACAAAGTGAGTTGTTACTCAATTTTAAATTATTTTAAATATGAACATTCAGAGGTTTAAGCTGAGATCTTAAAATCTCGGGACCACAGTCAAGTGCTCTCCAATTAAAGTCACTGCTCTAAACATTAAGGTATACAATACTGTAGTACATTATTTTGATTTATCTCGTTTTCCATTTTAGCCAGCGTTTGCAATGTAAGCGCAAAAAATGTGTTTACGACATCACATTAGAAACCTCTAAATTTTATCAGTGTTTCTCTACAATATTATGCATGTATTATACATATAAACCTTCCTCCTGAATCACACTATCTACTTAAAAAAAAAAGTTGTGTAGTTTTAAAGATTTAAGCACACATAGGGACGGACAGACAGCGACAGCGACTTTGTTTTATATTATGTAGTGATTAATTCAGTCTCGCGCCACCTACCCACTTCTATCTGTTCTCCTTTAACCAAAGGTTGTCTGTAAGAGATTGCTGTAGCGATAAGACCGCCTTTTGTACCTTTATGAATTGTTCAATTGTCATAGTATATTTTTGTTTATGGTGCAATAAAGAGTTAAATAAATAAATAAATAAATAGATAACAGTGTAAATACAAAACGTATAAACTCACCCGACCGCCGGCCGCCGTTTCTAAAGCGGTGCAATAAACAGGGTCGCGCACTTCTATCAGCTTACATATTGTACCTGCAGAAATAAAATGTTCTTAAGTACTTTTTATATACAATAGTTCAACATGTGATAATACAGCGAACGCTATAAAAACAGAGTTAATACAAGTTTTACCAGAGGGAGATTTTGTACAAAAGTCTTTTGCTTGGACATCTCTGTCCCATTCGTGTTTCTACCGTGAAGCAGTTATGTTTGCATGGCTGTGTTTCGGTTTGAAGAGTGGGATATGGCAGTGAATTTACAGGGTACAGAGGAATAACACCTGAGTCCCCAGGAATGGCAACGCATGGGGGGTATCATGGGCGAAACAGTATACTCTGTTATGTCCATAGTACTGCTCATGTCTATAGGCGACAGTAACCACTTTCCATCAGGTAAGCCAGTCAGCTGTTTGCAATTCTAAATTTCATTAAAAAAGTTTTGTATATGTGCTAAAGTTTAAATAAACTCTTTATAAATAAATGCAATCGTTTATATGTCTACTGAAATTATTATAATTACTATATTAGTAAAATAAATGTTACTAGAGGACAACTGAAAAATTTTTCTGTTCAGTTTACAAGTAGCTGTAAATGGTTTTTTGTATTTATATGTATATTTGAGTATTGACAATAGGATATGAGACTCAGAATGAGAGAATGAACTTGGATTGTGGAAAAACTAATTCTGTATTTTGAAATAAAAGCTAAATTACTGAACCAATTTTGATAAAATTTCTACAGGACCTATCTAAACAATAATTCATTCAGATAAAAAAAATCCAAATATGTTTATAAATGATGGAGTATGAAATAACAAACAAAAAAATACAATGGAATTGAGAACCTCCTTGTTTTTGAATTTAGAACATTACAGGCTATCTAGGTATCTTAAAAATGTCAATGTATGCATTTTTTTTTTTGATGGGTGAAAATGGAGTGGTAACCCCGCCTGCGCTAACGGGATGCGCTGACGGAGCACCAGTGAAGGGTGATAGATGAGAATGAAAACAGGCTAGTTAGCCCATCATGATGAATTCATCAGGAATTAACCATGGTAGTTTCCAAGGAGAACCGCGAGGTCGACCTGGTTGGTTATATTGCTAGCAATGGGATTCTCAGTCTCCATTACTAACAATCCCCTTCCCCCCCTCAATGTATGCATTGTTGTCACAAAATATACTGTGACTAGTGTACTCTGTAACATTCATGTCTATGCACAATGGTTATAAGGTGTAAAAAAAAAACTAAATACAATAAGTATTTAAATAGCAAGACAGCTAACCTAATACGCGACGGGAATCGAACCCGGGCTGCGGCGGCGTGTAGTTGAAGTGGCAGCGCTGCAGCCGAGCGCTTAGCGACTCGGTAGCCTCTCGCCGGGACCGCACACTGGCCGCTAGAGTGCGCTGCTGCTGCTGTAGCTCGGTTCTACGCTCTGGACTGAACTGTATGCGGGACAGCTCCAACTGCAATACGACGACTGTTATTGTACGTACTGAGAACCAAGCTTTTATATGTATACTTTTTTTTTTAACTGGAATATAAATTATTGTATGTATTACCATTGAAGCATAGACTAGACCAGCGATTCCTAAATTTGTTTACGCAAAACCTAAATATTTCCGTAAAAAAGTCACCAGGTCTCCGCGAAATTATTTATACAGTGAAACAATTTAATTTTTCACATTAAAAGTCCAAGGAAACTATAAAATGCTATACGTTTAAAATATTTCTAATAAACGCTTTTGTTCTTATTTAAATTACATTGTATTTATTTGTAATCGTTTCATATGGGGTTCTATAAAATTAAAGGTATTTATTGAGTGTTCCATTCTATCTATCTATCCTATTTAAGAGCTGCGCTCTTGTCGGTGGAGCTCTTGCCACTCACTACGATTTTCAGCGAGTCTCTTCACCTCTTGATACGACACGACACCAACTCCTTCCTTGATCTGCCTGATGTAACTATGTCTCGGTCTCCCTCCATTATCTTAAAAATTTAGTAACTCCTAGACTAGACATCCATTAGAGTTTGGACGCAGATGCGATTTTGAGAAGGGGTGAAGTTACATCGCAGAAGGTGGAAGTGAATGTCCACACTGTACTTTAGTACTATTACTTATCATCATCCAATTAGCCAATAACTGTCCATTGATGCACATAGGCCTCCCCCTTGGGGAGGTTTTGCCAGTAATTGTCACATAATATCATTAAATTAAGGGAGTGAAACCGAATATTTTTCTTAAACAAACATTTGTAATAAATTTTGATCCTTCCATATTAACAGGTGTATCCAACTGAAGAATTAATTTAGGAAACTAAATTTTTTTATTTATTAACGATGAGATATTTTTTAAATAACTTATATTGTAAATGTTTAATATATATAAATATAACAATGTATAAAAGGACCATGATATTTTCCAACAATCCTTGCAATGTTACATTAAGGCTGCCAATTTGTTACTTTAAATTTATAGCCGTCATTCTTTTAATGTATGTGATATCGAATGTTATGCAGAGCAAGTTATTGAAGTGGAAATTTAATGATGTTTTATGTAATATTTTTTTTATTAATGTATTAGTTTGTAATCTGTTTAAATTTCTGCCAAGAAACAATTGTATTTGCATGGCTGTTTCGGTTTGAAATATAGGATATAGCAGTGAATTTACAAGGTACAGAGGAATGACACCTGAGTCCCCAGGAATGGCAACACATGGGAGGTATCAGGAGCGAAACAGTATACTCTGTTGTGTTCATGGTACTGCTCATGTCTATAGGCGACGGTTACCACTTTCCATCAGGTGGCCGTCAGCTTGTTTGCCATTCTAAGTTGTATATCAAAAAAAAACAGCACAACAAACTAAATGTACAATATTTTTAAATACACAATCGAGACTTAACACTATGAAAAAGCTTTTTACAGGTAAATGCTTCTTTATTGCCAACATTTCGACATGAATACACCACGTCAGGACTCAGTCCTGTCGCTTTTTCATTTTTAAACTTTTTCATCATGTTTAAGTACCGATTGTTGATTTAAAAATATGTATAAACAACACGAGTTTAAAATTAAATGTACAATGTTTTATGTACATTGTATATTCGCTGATAGCTACCAAAGATCTTACACAATAATATCAAGGTAATGGTAATTCTGAATAGTCGAGTGGTCGTCGTGTGATTTTAATAATATTCATTACCACGTAAATTTTTTAAACTACGTAGATGTTCTCTAAGGACAAGACCCGCTGACTATGTTTGTGTAAGTGTTCTATATAGAACCTAAAATAAGCCAAAGAAGACAGGGAAGACCATTGACACGATGGGTTTAACTATAATTATAAAAGCAGTAGCAGGTGCATTTTGGACAAGGATAGCCAAAAACAGAATAGAATGGAAAACTCTGGAGGAGGCCTTTGTCTTTGGACAAGACAGGGGTGACAGAACAGTTACTGATTGCATATTAATTACATTGAATTGTTTATTACGTTACTTCTTTAATAAAGGCTTATATTATTAATATTATTAAGTAATTTATATAGTATTCACCTGCAGCTGTTCCACTTGCGCCTGATGCCTGCCGATGCTGTCCTGGTCGCGCTGGTACTGTGCGCTGCTGGACTTGAACTCGCGCTCCAGCGTCTTCAGACGCTCCTCCGCGTGCTTCTTCTCCATCATGCTCTGCGAGATCCGCGTCGATGCCTCTGACGCTTCCGCTTTCGCCGCTGTGTTCAAATATCATAAATCAGCCCGTGATTTTGCGTAAAAAAATTTCAAACCAAAAAAGAATAAAAATTCAGAAATTCACTAGAGGTACACTTTATACAAAAGTCGTTTGCTTGGACATCACTGTCCCATTCATGTTTCTAACGTGAAGCAGTTGTGTTTGCATAGCTGTGTTTCGGTGTGAAGGGTGGGATATGGCGTGAATTTACAGGGTACAGAGGAATAACACCTGAGTCCTCAGGAATGGCAATACATAGGGGGCATAATGTGCGAAACAGTATACTCTGTTATGTCCATGGTACTGCTCATGTCTATAGGCGACAGTTACCACTTTCCATCAGGTGGGCCGACAGCTTGTATGCCATTCTAAGTTGCATAAAAAAAAATTAAACTATCACAGGAATTGAGATACTCTAATGTGTTAAGATAGTGAACATGCAAAATAAATACATTATGTAATGTACAATTAAAAAAAAACATATAGCGAGTTGAGAAGTTGTGACGCAAATGGTCGTACATGGTGGAAAGGACAAACATAAAAAATTCATAGTTTCTGTTATACATATTCTATATATTTAGCATTTTATTGGAATCATTAATGTATATACTTTGTTTGTATACACATATTATACACTAGTGATTTGCCCCGGCTTCACATAAAAAAATAAATTATATGTTTAAATAGGTAATTTTTTGATACTTTGAGTAACATTATTGTAATTTTCGTAAGGATCTATATATATATATATATATATATATATATATATATATATATATATATATATATATCAATAGGTGGAAGATTTTTTAAAATCCGTCGAGAAGTTTTTGAGTATATTTATTACAAACAAAGTTTTCCTCTTTATAATATTAATAATATAGATATAAATGAGACTCAGATCAATACAAATTATTGTAGTCTTTGGGGATGGAAACCACATGTATTTGACGGCGAGGCAGGGTGTCAAACGTGGTGATGAGTAATGTAGTAATGTGAGTAATGTACTGACCGATGAGCTGGTCCTGCAGCGACTCGGAGGCGCCCTCGAGGCCCGAGCTGACGGCCAGGAAGCGCGCCTGCGCCGCCGCCAGCGCCGCCTCGCCGCCCTCGCTCGCCGCCCGCAGCCTCTCGAACGTCGACGACACCTGCACACCACACATATCGCTTTCAAGTTTTATACTAAAACCTAAATAAAGTATACATGAAATACATTAAAAAAAATTAAAGCTCATGTTATTTATTATATTTAAATGTGGTGCTACCATTATAATCTGTAGTTTATTGTTACATTTGCAAAACTAGTAAATTTTTTAAAGTTAGGTAAATTTTGGTATAATATATTTGTAGACAAAGTTTATAATATCCTATACAATACAATCTATTTCTTATAATAGATGATTTTATTTAAAGTAATGTTTCAAATGTAATTAGTATTATTATTTTCTTTCAGCTTCTCAAAGGTTGACTGTAAGAGATCCCTTTATGGGATAAGTCTGCCATTGTACATTAAATCATTTACTAGTATTTAATTTGAGTTATGTACAATAAAGATTTTTACAATACAATACAATATTATTAAAAAAGCACTTGCTCTAAAATTAAAACATCCAAATATACTGTAGGTGTGTTTATCTATTATGAAGAAAAAAACAATCAAAATAATGTTACAAGTAATTGAAGCCTAAATACAGCTGGTCAGTATTGGAGGGAGAGGGATTATTAGTAATGGTGTTTTTGACACAACAGGACTGTTGGTAGCAATTTATTCTATTGGATTGACCTCCACATGTTGTTTTTGGAAACTATTGTGGTTAATTCCCGTGGAATTAGCCCACCAGCGCATATAGACTGTGCGTACCTGGCGCAGCACGTCCCGCTTGGCCCGCAGCGCGGCGCGGTCGTCGGCCAGCGTGCGCTGCAGCAGGCGCGCGCGCCGCGCCGCCGCCGCCGCCGCGTCGCGCGCGCCGCGCCACGCCGCGCCCAGCGCCGCCTCGCCGCGCTCGCGCTCTACCAGCTCCGCCTCCAGCTGCGCCAGCCGGCTGCCGCTCTCCTGCGCCCGCCAAACACATACTGTCACACTACGATCCACGCCGAGGGAATGATGCTATAAGGCAGGGGGAAGCACTAAGTATCCCGATGGGTAGACGTGTATCGGCTTAGCTGACCCCATATACGAAAATAAGATAAGATCTTCCTGGGATAAAAACTACCACACACCCTTCTTCTTCTCGTACCAATAAACTCTTACCTCATCCAATTTCTTGTTCATTTCTGCAACTTTCTTGTCAAGATCCTTTGCCTCTTTCTCATTGTTCTTTATGGTCTCCTTCTTAGTTTTAATATCATCCTGCACTTCTGTGACCTTGGCTTCAGCTTTCTTTGTACTCTCCTCTGCTGTTACATATCTAAACAAAAAATATACTGATAATAATAAATCAATATGAGTTACATTTTCACTTAAATTTGAAAATAAATAGGCTCTCAAGACATTTGACATTTTCGTGAATAAAACAGTTACTGCAGTATTAAATCAATAATTATAAGTCCAAAAAAAGAACAAACTGCAATTTTGGCAAAATTAGTACATAAATAAACTACTGTTTAAAAAAAATTGTAATTATTGAAATCTCATTTTTAAATCCATACAAGCATGTACACAATGTAACTTACTTCCAAGCAACATATAATCTAGTGAGATTCTCCAGTTCTCTAACAACCTTTTGGTACTCCTGGAACTGAGATCGTTCATCCTGCAGCTTCTGAAGTTTTGGAGCAATGTCCTCTATAATGATCTACAAACATACAACAGTGCATAATTATAAAATATAAATATAAGCTTATTGAAGTTTATTTGAGTAAAAATATTATTCTATTTTCAAAACAATGTTAGTTTAGGACTAGATGGCGCTGTGTAAAATGGCCAACAGTATTATATCAATGTTACCAACATCATTGAGCTCCCGTAACTTGGCATCTTTCTTCTCTATAGTTTTCTGTGCTGCCTGCTTCTTAGCCTCATACATTCTAGTGCCGGCCGCTTCCTCTACCATTGACAGAATCTAAAATTCACAAAATTGAAAATAAAAATAAGAAAAATTAAAAAAAATTCAAAATAGAAAAAAAAAATTATTCTGTTGGAATTTATATCTTTATTTTTTTATAATCTATATTTTTTCTTAAATAGAAAAAAATATTAAACAATTCTTGAAATTGAATAGATAATGAAAATTTATATAAATTATTAGATTTAAATATACTCAGTCCCCAAAATTCATATAAAATATATATAGTTACATTTTTTGTATTAGGATTATTTATTTACCTTTATTTAGGTAAATAAATAAACTTAATAGAATAGTTTAACTATCTTAATGCTATGTTAACATAAATATAACAATATACAGTCAGACTATTCAAAGTAAAAACAAACTTAAATCTTGACAAAAGTAATCAAATTAAACAATTTTAATTATAAAATTGTTTCACAACCACAATATGTTGGTGAATGTGAAATTTTATACTAACTCTATTTATAATTCTTAATATGCAATCACAATAAGAACTTCTATTTTTTTAAGTTGACAAATAAATTATAGATGACATGTAAAGCTACCTCGGGTGGTTTCATATTGAGGACTTTGGTGATCCGACCCTGCATGATGAGGAAATGAGGGTTGTTCACATTGAGCTGCACCGAACAGAACAAGTCACTCACTCTCTTGTTCTGGACATTTATACCATTTATCAGGTACTTGTTCTTGCCTCCCATCACAACCTGAAGCAGTCAATTTTATTTTCCTTTTTTTATGAAAATCTGCCAAGACACCAGGAACAACCATGCATTCTAAGAGAAAAAAATTATTAGTAATGACATCCTCCTTAGCTCGACCTCCACATAGTTCCATCATGATTGAATATCATAATGGGCCAATTAATCTTCTTTCATTCTCATTTATCATCTTTCACGGGTACGCTGCCCCTGTATACTGTTAGAACAGGTAGGGACACCACTCCATTTTCATACATTAAAAGAAATATAGCACTCACCTCTAGCAACAGCATTGTCCACTGCTATTAAATTATAGACAATTATGTTATTAAAATTTTCCTTGTGTTTTAATATTATATACCTAAATGATAATACTGACCTGTCTAGTCACAGTTATTTCATCATGATTTTCATAGCCAATAGGACATTGTTTCTTATCCCTATTGTCAAATGTGATGCTGACTGTGGCCTTGGTGATTCCTGCCTGGCCATGCTTGTAAATCAACTCTTGAAGGCTTCCAGCTCTTACCTAAAAACAAAATATACGTGTTGGCGGGAGTATAACCAACCTTTATAGTTTGCATATAAATTACTCACGTTTGACAAATTCGTTATCCCCAGCACAAAACATATTGAATCCAATATATTCGACTTCCCAGTACCGTTCAGGCCAGTAATAGCATTAAATTCAGAGTCGAAACCGGTGACTTCGACTCGGTTACCATATGATTTGAAACCGTCCAACACAATAGACTTGATATACATTTTTACTACGTTAAACACATCGATAGATTCATTAAATCACATCGCAATACTTTTTCAATCAGTATTTATTGTTAAAATCTGAAATTATTTAAGAGCGGGAACCGTTGGAATTTAGTTTTTTTTTTTTGTTGATAGATGCACGCAAACACAACCCAATGACATTGACATTTATTATTTAGTTTTTTTTTTTTTAATTAATGTTAGAAATAAAAACCATAATATATCTTCAATTATTTGTAGTTAAGTTGTATTTTAATCTAAGAGCAATTTAATTTTATTACTTCCACAACTACATCTCCATCTTTATCTTAAAAAGAATAATTTTTATCGAATCTATATATCTCAAGGTACCAAATTATTTAAGCCTGTACACGATCCGTAACTTAAGTACATAAAAATAGTTATATGCAAATGTATATAGCTATTTTTTATGTATAAAGAGAGAATGCTGCTCCTTTTTTATTATTGTTTGCGATAGTGGCGACCCATACGATTTGTATGGGTGATCGCTCAACAAATCGTGACCCTTTAGGTATCCAAGAAGTTGTGTATTGATTACACGTTCCACACCTTGAAGAAAAGAGAAGTGATGGCAATAGGCTTATAATTCGAAGGGTTTTATCTATCTCCCTTTTTAGGCACAGGATGCACGAGGGTGGTTTTCCAGTTGGATGGAAATCGCCCTGTGAAAAATGATAGTACGAAAAGAGATGTAAATACTGGACACAGTTCAGGAGCACATTGCTTTAATACTAATACCAGTATGATGTCTGAGCCATCTAACTTACTGACGTCAAGAGATAATAATTCCCACCGAACTCTACGTCATGATATGGAAATCTCTGGTATGAAATCCTCGCACCACGGGATGATAGGTGGTACAATATCTTCAGTGTCTAATGTAGAATACGAGGCAAAGAGAATGCCTAGCAAATCAACTTTCTTTTTTGCACTATTGGTCAAGTAACCATTTCGCTTCCATAAAGGAGGTAAGGATGACTTTTTTTTTTATACCACTGAGGTGGCAAACAAGCATACGGCCAACCTGATGGTAAGCGGTTACCGTAGCCTATAAACGCCTGCAATACCAGAAGTTTTACGCGCGCGTTGCCGATCCTGAAGAAACCTCTTTACCCCCTTTTGAAGAACCCCATGCTGTAGTCTCTTGGTAAAACCTCGGCAGGGAGCTCATTCCATAACCTGAGTGTTCGTGGGAGAAAACATCTCTGAAACCGCGTTATACGCGATCATTTAGGCTGTAAGGTATGAGTGTGAACTCCTTGTCGATGGCGAGCCGTACGATGATAAAAAGTGGCCGTAGGCATCATATTGAATAATTCCTCTGAGCACAATCCGTTGTATAAGCGGTAAAACAAGCTGACGGCAAAATCTCTGATGGAAAAACGTTTGATACGCCTATAGACATGAGGATCATGGACATAACAGAGTATCATAGCTCTTCGCCCATGATAGCCCCCATGCGCTGCCATTCCTGAGGACTCAGGTGTTATTCCTCTGTACCCAGTAAATTCACAGCCATATCCCACCCTTCATTCCGAAACACAGCCATGCAAACACAACTGCTTCACGGTTGAAACACGAATGGGACAGAGGTACCCGAGCAAACGACTTTTGTACAAAGTCTCCCTATGGTAAAATATTGAATAATTCCTTGAGCACAATCCGTTGTATAAGCGGTAAAACATGCAGAGTGAGGCAAAATCTCTCCTAAGACTTAAAGGTTTGATACCGCTTGCAAGCCTGGGATCATCGACAATTCTCATAGCTCTTCGTTGCATTGAGTCGAAGGGTTCAAGCTGGTATCTAAGTGCTCCCGCCCATAAGTGACAGCAATACTCCATATGGGGCCGGATTTGCGATTTGTAAAGCATTAATCGCTGATCCGGCGTAAAGTAATGCTTCGCTCTATTAAGCACACCGAGTTTTTTGGATGCCAGCTTCACCTTATCTTCGAAGTGGCCACGGAACTCTACATCACTGAAGATGTCGACACCAAGGATCCCAATGCTTTTAGAGATGTTAAGAGACGTGCCTTGTAACTGTGGGGCCACAGCAAATGGGGTTTTCTTAGCGGTGAACGGGAGACATTGGTACGACTCGTATAAAGGGCATGACTGACTTAAGTTGCTTATAGCAGCTTTAATCAGCAACCAGAAACCACGATTTCCAGAGTAATGACATGCCAGCCGCTCATCAATCCCACTGATGAAATCGAGTTTCACTGTGACGATGATTTTCATGATGAATTACATGTATAGTTTAAAAATTCCAAATTATTTATCAAATTTACATTCTATTTGTTATGGATACATTCTATGGTGGGGCAAAATCTACATTGAACATGTGCAAGATGTTACGTAAAGCTCTTTGTTGAGTTAAAAAGACTTTTTAAATAAATGGAAGTTTAAAATTATAGAAAAATACATTAAACCGCGGGCCATGAGGCATTTGAACTACGAGTCCTGTACTTAGATAAAGTACTTACTTGAAAATTTTGACAGTGCCATTATCTGGCTATCTGTCACTGTCATTAGCCGTCACTCGAGGTGATTGATCAACGATTGACTCAATTTATTTGATTGATTTTTTATTTTTTTTGTTCATTTTCTTAGTTTATCCGTTAGTTATTTTTTTAATTCTTTACTTAAATTTTTCGCCATGGATTTTAGTAATACAGGCGGATTGCGAAGTCCATTTTCACCACGAGTTCGACAATCTATAACTGGTCGAAGATCTATTGGGCTGTCTTCTAAAAAGAATCAGAGGTAAAAATTATAACCTGTTAATAACATAAAATTGTTTTAGAAGTACTAAACTCATTTTGGCACTGAGCTCTATATTTTATTATAGTTTCAGTAAATTTCTACACTCATCTGGACAACAGAACGGCGATGTCATCTATAAAACTCCAATAAGTACAATAGAGACTTATGGTTCCCCACTACCTGTAATGGTCACGGAGACACTCACATTTGGTTTGTAACATGTTTCATATCTACTATTTAAATGCATGTATTTCTGTAATTCATATCCACTTATCTAATACTTATACTTTTAGAAATAATATAAAACAGTATTTCCCATTTTCGCGCGTTTTTGCTATTTGTCAAATGCAATTTATACAGTATTCATAAATTGAAATAGTTATGAATATTTTTTTTCTATAGACTTGAATCCTCAAGTAAAGTAATGCTTATATATTCTGTATTTACTTTTGCTTATTTTTTATTAATTGTACATATATGGATATTTATTTTTTATCTAGTAGATATATATTTTTTCAATCTCTACTTGCTGTTGGCTGCATATGGCTTTTACAGCTTTACTGAATATGTGCAGGGGTAAGTGTGGGTAGAATTCTAAGTCCGCGGGAGGCAAGCGACGAAGTGTAGACCCTTACAGATGGATTGCACTGTTAGATATTGGATCACAATATGTCTAAATAAAATATTTTAAAATTTTAGGTGAATAAAAAAAAGAACAACTTATACTCTCACATACAAATGATTTTTAAAACTAATTGAATTTAATTAAAGTGTATGTATTTATTTAAGAACTCTTTATCAATGCTATATTTTTACATAACTTGTTAGATTTTGACATGTGTATCACTGGCTAGTTGGAAAAGGCTTTGTTGTCGAGTGTACTTAATTTTGAGTATTATTTTTGGAATTGTCATGTATGCATGACACATGAGGGTTTTTTTAAAGAATGATAATAGAATGGTAACCCCGCCTACGCTATCGGTATACACTGGCGGGGCACGAGTGAGTGATGATAGGTGAGAAAGACAAAGCAGATCAGTTTTTAGCCCATCATATATGAATACATACAGTTTAATTTATACCAACTTAATCGATAAGTTTTTTTCTCTTTAAAGGGAAACCACATGGAGTAGATTTGTTTATGTTATATTGCTAGCAATGGGACTGGTAGTCTGCATTACTAACAATCCCTTCCCCCCGACACACGAAGGTTGTGTTGTGCTTGTACACATTGTGAATGTGATGCAGCGAGCGGCGAGGTAAGCGTGCGGCTGTGGGCGGGCGGCTGGTGCTGGTTGGTGGCAGGGCGGCGCGTGCTGTGCTGGCCGCGCGAGGCCGCCACCAGACCCCGCCTGGTTCTTGCCCCGCTGCCGCCTGTTGGAGCTCACGCTGCCGCAGACCGACCTAAGCCCATAAGGCTGATAAAGTTGCCTTGTTCTATATAGGATGGAGCACAAGTAAGTCTCATTGCTTTTCCCTTTTATTGTTTTTAACAAATTATGACTCTCTTTAACATATATAAGAAATTATTCATTATTCATAAAATCCTTGTTTAGTTTAGTTTAATTTAGTACCTTAATGACTTAATCAATAAGTTTTTTATCTCTTTAAAGTAGTGAAAACATTAAACTTCTAAATCAAAAGATATGGCTGTTTATGGTTCCATTTATATCGTATATTCTGACAGTATATTCTGACAGTATATTCTGACAGTATATTCTGACAGTATATTCTGACAGTATATTCTGACAGTATATTCTGACAGTATATTCTGACAGTATATTCTGACATTCGTAAAGGGAATCAAAAGCTATAGGGTATTTCCTGTTGACCTAGAATCATGAAATTTGGCAAGAAGCAATGTCATGTAGTACAAGCTAAGGAAAAAATTCGAAAACCATAAATTTGTAGTTATTTCACAAAAAAACTTGATGATTTTGTATGGAACCCTCATTACGTGACTTCCATTAGCACTTGACTGGCTTTTTCCTTATTTTCCAGATGCCATCGTGTATTGGTGTATCGCCAGAAGGCATTGTTCGATACTGGCCATCAGTGGGCCAAGAGGAAGTGTATGCAGACGTGTCAGCCGAACTAGCCGGGCAGGAGTGCGAGCGACTTGGAGAACACTCCCAGGCAGGCCTGGTTCTTGCCACCACTACATGCACTGTTGTTTTACTCAATCCTGCTGTTGTTGGTAAGTATCTAGCATTTACTTTAAGCTACCTATAAAATTAGTATAAAATTAAAACTACTACGTAGGTAATATAAAATATATAATACAGAAATAAAACAAGTAATAGAAATGTCACTGGTTATTAGAATTACTATGTTTAATTTTGTTACTATTATATTTATATGTATGTGACTGACTGTGACTGGTGTGACCTACCTTTTTTTTTAATTGGTAATAATGGAATGGTAACCCCACCTGCGCTATTGGTATCCACCGGCGGAGCACCAATGAGGGACAATAGATGAGGATGAAGCAGGTCAGTTAGCCCATCGTCACGATGAGCTACATGAAGAATTCAACAAGAATTGTTCACAATGATTTCCAGGGGGAACCACATGGAGGTATATTATGTAGTAACAATACAGATAAAAGGCGCTGCACACAAAGCAAAACAAGAAACAAAAAATATACCATGGGAGACAGGCGTGACAGATATGTATGTATGTATGTACCACATGGAGAAAAATATGTAATCCGCCATTTTGATAGGGCATATAATGTTATTGATTTTATTATATTGTATTGTCATCTAAATTAAATGTGTGACCAAATTTCAGATCAATCTGACAACGGGAATGTTACGATAAGTGTTTGACCCAAATAAATAAAATAAAGCTAAATATATTGTTAAAAATAGGTTGATAATCAAAGCCTAGTGTTAGTCCATCGGTCAGTAGTAACGGTTAGAGATTGATGACTAATATGGAAAGTCATAGAACTTCTACTGATAATAATATTCTTTCTTTATCGTACACGAAATGTAATGTTAACCACAATTAATTTTAGATGTAATGTACAAAGGCAATCTTATCTCTAATAAGAAAGTTCCAGCAAACCTTTTCATAATAGTAAGTCAATCTTTAAATGTTTCACACACATACTAGTGGTAGTGGAATTAAACAAAATAATTCTAGTCAACAGTGATGTGAACTTCAGCAAAGTAACTCCTAGTTCAGTAAAATAATGGAAATGACAGACAAGCTAAGAGGGCACCTAAATAAAATGTATAATTCATTATCATCATCATCATCAGCCTTTAACAGTCCACTGCTGAAGATAAGCCTCCCCCTTGGGAGGTTTTGTCAGTAGTTTACATGCTTAGCAGGTGAATTGGTAACCACAGTTAGGTTTTAGAGATGTTTTAAGAAGGACACTGTTGCCCATTTCTCACCCACCCTTAGTCGCTTCTTACGACACCCACAGAAATGGAAGGGATGGCTTATTCTATGCTGGTCCCCACATGGCCAATGTAATAATTAAAAATTACAATTCAACAAGTTTTTAAGAGTCATCTTATTTGTGTCATAGATGGGCGAGCTACTGTGACTTGTCGCACTTTGCGACCGCCGAGTGGATGGCTGGGCGGCATCGGTCGACGTGTATCGTTGCTGTTCTTTGGCTCCATGCCTGCTCATGCAGAAACTGTAAGTGTTATAGAATATACTATATCCATAAATGATTTACACCAGAGCAAATAGATACAGTTTAGAATCAAGCCAAGCCACTAATAGGTTTTCACAAGTAGTAACAATACAGATAAAAGGCGCTGCACACAAAGCAAAACAAAAAACAAAAAATATATAAGGTGTTACTAAATTATCTGCATTCCTTGCTACAAGGCATAGTATTAGATATATACATTATGATAAAAAAGGAATTCCATGTCGAACTAGTATGATATTATTAAAAAATAAAATAAAATACTTAAATTTCTCATTCATACAATATATATTCAAACAGCCTGTGAATAAAAAAATTGCCAACTCAGTTGGTCTCTCGCTGATATTATATTTTCCGAAAATATGCCGATATTAAGAGTTTTAGAAAGAGTATTGCAGTTGTCGCTAGCACTCTTTGTTATTTTAAAATGATAAATTCTATCTACCTTCGCTTATACTATATTATAAATGTAGCACTTTATGGAATTCAGATGATTATTTATTAAAATAGTCTGAATTAGTCTGAGGAATTCCTCTACTAGAAGAACACTAACTAGTGTTCTTTAAAAAATTGTAAACAAAATAAAAAATAATTTTTGATATTTGAAACTTTTGTATACATTTAGCTTATATTGATTTTTTTGCCAGCATTTTTGAACAACAAAACACATTTAAAGTTTATGTTTATGTGTATAGAAGCTAGTGGGCGTAGTGGTGATCCCCGACAGCGGCGCGGAGGGCGAGGAGTGCGTGGCGCTGGTGGCGAGCGGCAGCGGCGGCGGCGGCGGTGGCGGCGGCGGCGGCGGCGGCGGTCCGGTGCTGCAGCTGTGGCGCGGCGCCGAGCTGCACGAGCACAGCCTGCGCCGCGCGCTCTGCGACGCGCACCTGCAGCCGCACCACCACCCCCAGCACGCGCAGCACGCATTACCCGGTATACACCAAGCTATACACCAAGTACGAACATCTTCGTACGGGACTCGTTTCACTTTGACCAATGGTAAGCACTTATCAGACATAATATCATTCTTTACAGGTGATTTGAACAGTTTGGAGATAATGGCGCTTGACGTTCGAGCGAGCGGTAACAATGGGTTGTTGTTGCTGATCGCGGCCGTCAACGTCGCAAGGTCGCCGGAATTGAGATACGCTATAGGTAATACAGTTATCCGTAACGTTCGTAGCTGTCTATTGATGTATAAGATAGTTCATAATAAATAAACACTATCGGAGATACTACATCTAGTTCCAAATTAAGTACAGTTGTACTATGAATACTAAATGACTGATTTAATTCCTTTTCCTTGTGAAAACATATTACAAAAATAAAATAACCAAACCAATACAAATGGATGTAATCATGAATACAAATATTTGTAGTGTGCGAGGATCAAGCTCGCAACCGCTAGAGCAGCATAGTCATCAGTATAAGATAACAAGGTTTTCTCAGGGTTGGCAACGCGCCAGTGACATCCCTGGTGTTGAAAACGTTAACTTATTCCAGTGGCCGCTTATCATCTACGGGCTGTTCGATTTATTGGCATGTTTGTTTGTGTATGTGCGCAGCGCACGTGTCGGTGGCGGACGCTAGCAGCCCGCGCGTGACTTCGCTGGTGGCGCTGAGGGGAGCGCCCGCCGCGCCCGACGCGCCGCCGCGCTTCCTGCCGCTCGGGCCGCGCGCGCTGCTCTACACGCACGCCTCCGTCGCGCTCGTCTCCAGTTAGTATTAGTCAATCAGTCAATGTATTTGTTTGCATATTGCTGCCGCTCAACTCTCACAACATTATTCCGAACTACATCTCTATACTAAATTTATAAACAAAGATGTCATTTTAAAGAGAATAGAAGTATATTGAGTTATAGTTATTTTTCAATATTTAAATTATATCTTACCTACAAAAATAAAAAGTGCAGTTTGAAATTGGTTGTAATCCTGGTCACGGCAACAAATTGTTAGTAAGCAAATATTTTTGAAAAATTTACATATTCTATGGGCATACCGATGGGCAGTGGCAATCGAGAGTAAGGGAGAGGCCTTAGCAGTTAGTCTGGATATTGCGAAGGCCTTTGATCGGGTGTGGCATAGAGCGCTGCTTTCAAAGCTACCTTCATTTCTCAAGGAACGTAGCATTAAGGTCGTAGTCGACGGTGCATGCTCTGATTTAAAACCTTTGAATGAAGGCTGTGTACTATCTCCGACTCTGTTTCTTCTGCATATCAATGATATGTTACAGATAAGTAATATTCATTGCTATGCGGACGACAGTACAGGAGATACATTATATACCGGTCATGCAAAGATCTCGCGGGCACATACCGATGAGTGCCGGAATAGACTTGTGTCTGAAATCGAAACTTCACTCCATCAAGTTTCGATCTAGGGTGAACAAAATCTTGTCCAATTTAACCCCAAAAAGACACAAGTCTGCGCGTTTACCGCAAAAAAGACGCCGTTTGTCGTATCTCCTCACTTTCAGGGCACTTCCCTTGATAAAAAGTCAAGTCTAGGAATTCTGGGCGTTGATATATCTTGCGACGTCCAGTTTTGCGGTCATCTGGAGGAGAAGGCTAAGATAGCTTCCAAAAAGTTAGGAGTGCTCAATAGGGTGAGACGATATTTCATGCCAGAACACCGCCTGAAATTATATAAAGCCCAAGTCAGGCCGCATATGGAATACTGTTCTCACCTGTGGGCAGGAGCGCCACAGTACCAACTCCTTCCGTTAGACCGCATTCAAAGTCGGGCGGCTCGAATTATCGATAGTCAACGCCTTACTGTCCGACTTGACCCATTGAAACTGCGCAGAGATTTGCGTCTCTGTGCATCTTCTACCGAATTTATCATGGGGAGTGTTCTGAGGAATTGTTCGGATTGATACCTGCTGCTGATTTTCACCACCGTACAACCCGCCACAAACTAAAGTTTCATCCCAATCATCTTGGCGGTCTTCCACCGTGCGTTTTTACTTTCTTCCACGCACAACCATTCTTTGGAATCAACTTCCAGCAGCAGTATTTCCGAACCGATACGACAACATGACCTTCAAAAAAGATATAATTTTTAAAAGGCCGGCAGCACACCTGCAATGCCGCTGGTGTTGTGGGTGATCATGGGCGGCGGTAGTCACTTACCATCAGGTGAGCCGCATGCTCGTTTGCCCACTGTGTTGTAAAAAAAAAAAAAAAAAAATTCTTCTGGTGGATGTCGTCTGATATTTGTCATGCGAATTATGCTGTCAAATCCAGAAGGAACATATACAATTCTTTTTAAAATCAATTTTATTGCCGAAAAAGTCTCAATTAATGACTATTAAAGTAACTCTAAAGCGTCTTTGAAGGATCGTTACTTAAAACCAGTCCAAATGTGTTGACGCATTTTTCAATACATTGGAAGGTATTTGATAATTTGGTAGGTCTGTATTTTCTGTGTTTAATTTTTATACTCGTATAATTACAATTTCGATGTGTTTTGCCAGTAGCAGACTATTTAAAAAAAAATGTCATTTTTACAGGCACTGTGTCAAACGATAAGCCAGACATTATCGACGTGAGCAGTGAGGGGGACCGTATACTCGGGGCCGAGTTATGTAATGGAGTTCCGTTGCTGTTCAGCAAGAAGCACGGTGTACTCGTACTCACTACTACTGACAGCTTAGCGCCGCAGCAGTGAGTACTTTATTATCGAACTATTAAAATATCGTCACGATCAAATTACTAGGTATATTGATACCTAGTAATTTGATAGTAAGGAAATTTAGTTCTAAAAAAAACTTACTTTTTGTTATAGAGGATTGTGTGACTCCCCTTTGGGTTCACCGTGCCCTTCTGACATGTACGACAGCAATTTATCACTATATGAAATCGATCCACACGAGGTAATTTACTAATTATATTGTACATAGCATTTATCATGTTAGTAAGGTATTCTTATAATTTTGATAAATTTATTTTTATAGGTTAGTATGGTCACGACGGACGCATGCGGCAAGTTGAAGACGGCATTCTTGTTCCACCTACGACGCGACACGGCCGCGTGCCGCGCGATCATTGACGAACTGTTCCCCGCGCCGCCCGCTCCCGCGCCGCCCGCCGCCGGCAGCGCGCCCTCGTCCCCCTCGCGCCGCGCACCCTCCGCCACCACCACCGTCGCTACAGACGAGGAACAGGACGAGCGCGACGTCGACGCGGTGCTGGACCGGACGGTGCTGAAGATCGCCACCGAGATGCTGGACGACATACCGGCCGGGGATCCCAGGTAATACTCCGTTTTAGTCACTGGTAAAATAAATATTATTGATTTTTGTATTGTTTTTATGTTGAAAAGTAGATTAAGTGTAGGGAATGAACTAAAATCTAAATTTTCACTGAACTAGGTAGGTTTGGGCTGAAAGAATAATAAAAATAACTACAAATGCATTTGAATAACAAAAAAAAAAAAAAAGATTTTCGCAATATAAACAATATTTCATTTCATTTATTTAGTGATACATAGGTAGATAACAATGGATGGTAAAACAAGATAAGTCCTTTATGATCAACCTCATACATCGAGGTATATAAATTTACAAACATATAAGAAAAAAAGAAATACAATATTTATTTATTTACATATTATAGTAAACATAAGTTTGTTGAGGGAAACGTGAGGTTGAATTGCGTGTTCAGATGGAAGCAGCGCGTGAGCGGGCAGGCGACCAACATCGCGCTGGGCAGCTCGGCGGCGCTGCAGGTGGCGGCGCAGCTGCGCGACAAGCAGCGCGCCCTGGCGCTGTTCGTAGACTTCTTGCGCGCCACCGGCCTCGCGCGCCGCCTCGGCCTCGTTACCGCACGTACGTACGCAGCATGCAGCGTCACATTGCATAGTGCGCTGCAGTTCGCATTCAGCTGACTCATTGCACATCTTAAATTTAATATAGAGCACTAAATTAATAAAAGTTCAGTATTATTTATAGACATTAAAAGATTGAAATATACTTAGAAGTATTTTGTAATTGATGATTTGCAGAAGGGGATGTGGGTGGCGGTGACGGTGTTGTAAGCACGTGGTCTGCGCTGGGTAACCTGGCCGAACAGCTGGCGGCCGCGATAGCGCTGCGGCGGCTGCAGCAGGCCTCGTACGGCGACCTCATCGACGCCGCCATATATCAGGTAATGGACTATCCCACCGATTTTTCCTCCCACGAACACTCAGGTTGTGCAATGAGCTCCCTGCCGAGGTTTTCCCAAGAGACTACAGCATGGGGTTCTTCAAAAGGGGGGTAAAGAGGTTTCTTCAGGGTCGGCAACGCACGCGTAATATATCTGGTATTGCAGGTGTTCATAGGCTACGGTAACCACTTACCATCAGGTGGGCCGTATGCTTGTTTGCCACTTCAGTGGTATAAAAAAAAAAAAATTTATATTAATTGCATTATATGTACTATGATCTGTGATATATGATGATACTATGATCTCAATAAAGAATACATTTACAAAATTTGCTGTTATTTCTTTTTAATGGAAAATTGTCTCAGTGTATGTTCAATATCATAAATAGATGTACATGACGTAGAAAATGAGTATGATTGTTTGCAGGTGGTGTGCGGGTCGGGCGGCGCGGGCGCGGGCGCGGAGGCGGAGGCGGAGGAGGAGGCGAGCGTGGCGGCGGCGCTGGCGAGCGGCGCGCTGTCGGCGGCGGACGTGTGCTACCGGCGCGCGGCGGCCGCGGGCCGCGTGCTGCGGGCGCTGGCGCGCGCGCCGCCGCCGCCCGACGCCGCCGCCGCCGCGCTGCACGCGCGCGACACGCTCGCCGTGCTCACCGTTAGTATCCGCGCTATGTTGCTCTATGTGGCTCGTGGGAAACGCCCGTTAAATCGGACATACACCATTTGTAGTCGATTGGGCCTACTTGACTTTAGAGAAGCTACTGTTCTATTATTTGTGAAATAATAGTTATGCCTGAATTATAGACAACTCTGTGTAATTAACGAATCATGTGATGTCATTCGATTTCTAGTTCGGGTCCACTTTTCGGTAACCAAAGCACCTGAATAATACCCAATGTAATTTGTAACTTCTATTTATACTACAATGTGGCAGAGTGTGCTGTCGGAGATGCACCGCTGCCGCGCGCAGTGGCAGGCGCAGCCTCCCGCCCCCGCCCCCGCCACGCCCTCCGCGTCCGCCCTCGGCCCGCGAGCCTTGCTGCCGGCGCTTGTAGAGTTCCACTGTCGCGCTCTCACGTACGATACAACACATTCATAATTTGATCACAATATTACTACCACAATATATAAGTTTTTGTTACAATTTGTATAAAACTTGTAATGATGTAGAAAAGCTGATAAAATTAATGTTACAGTCAATAATACCGTCGTGTACAAAATACACGTTTGAATGGGTGTTTTCCTGTGAGTTATGTTTTTTTTTTTTGTACGACATAGAATGGCAAACAAGCTAACAGTCCACCTGATGGAAAGTGGTAACCGTCGCCTATAGATATGAGCAGTACCATGGACATAACAGTACACACACATACTGTTTCGCCCATATAACCCCCCATTGCGTTGCCATTCCTGAGCACTCAGGTATTATTCCCCTGTAATGCACCCTGTAAATTCACGCCATATCTCACCCTTTAAACCGTAACACAGCTCTGCAAACACAACTGCTTCACGGTTGAAACTCGAATGGAACAGAGGTAGCCAAGCAATCGAGTTTTGTACAAAGTGTCCGTGTGTGTATTGCAATGTGCGTGGGTGGCGTCCGCAGCGAGTGCGCGCGCAGCTGCCCGGACGCGGCGGTGCGCGCGCAGGTGTGGGAGGCGGCGGCCGCGCTGGCCGACTGCGTGCTGGCCGACGTGCCGCCCGCCGCGCCGCACTACCGCCGCGTGCGCGCCCGCCTCATACGACCCTTCGGTCAGTGCGCGTCCCTCGCACACTCTTGCATTATAATAACACATGCATAAAAATAAAAAAAGTAATAGAGAAAACAAGTGATGCACACTCTAGTGTCTCTAAGCTTATGACATCTTATTTTTACACAAAAGTCTTTTTTTTTTTACAACACAGAGGGCAAACGATCATGCGGCTCACCTGATGGTAAGTGACTACCGCCGCCCATGATCACCCACAACACCAGCGACATTGCAGGTGTGCTGCCGGCCTTTTAAAAAGGAATATACTCTTAGTCTAATGTTACTTAACCCTCTGACCGGGCATCCCGCGATTTCCGCATGCAGTATCTACTAGTATAAATTTACGCATCCCACGATTTTGACGTACTCGCATTTTTATTGTTTATTGACTTTGTTATCCCGCAATTTTTGTTTTGGTACATTGACATTGTTTCTCAGAATGTCGCTGGATGGCTAAATACTTGTACTGCTATTTGTTGTCAAAGCGATGTGCGAAAATGAAGCGAAAAAAAAATACGCGGTCAGGGGGTTAATATTATTGATAATGTAGAATAAAAGGATGTGATTTAATTAATTAACGCATTACTAGTACAATATTTACAAGAACGTAGACTATATCATGCTGGTCTATGCCTATGATCCGGCTCGAAGGATTATATTTTATTTGAAGTTAACATGCTTTGGTTGCAGTTGAGGAAGGTCAAACGGAACGCGCGGCGGCTCTCGCGGAGAAGTTCAAAGACTTCGAGATGCTCATAGAGATGTGCTACAAAGCCAATGATATGGAGCGTCTCTACACGTATATAGACAAGTACATCAATGAGGTTAGTCAAGCTGCCTTTAATGGATGTATAAATAATTTAATGGGGTTTTTAAACAATTATTTAGTTCATTAGCTTTAAATTATATAGATTGAGTGTCACTATTTAAATGCTTTGCCAAAATAGGTCAACATTTTTATCCATGTATGCGTAAATAGGGGTCTTTTTATGGGTGAAAATGGTATGGTAATCCCGCCTGTGCTAACGTTGGCGGAGCACCAGTGAAGGGTGATAGATGAGAATGAAAACAAGTCAGCCCATCATGATGAATTTATTAGGAATTAACTATGATAGTTTTTAGGGAGAACTGCGAGGAGGTCGACTTGGTTGGGTATCAGTCTCCATTATTAACAATTCCTTTCCCTCTTGCGTAAATAGGGTTACCATAATGTACACTTATTACTAAGTACATGGGAAAAATTATACTGTATGGTTAAATTGAAAAATAAAAACGATAGATGTATATATATATATGTGTGTGTATGTTATTTATAATGATGTTCTTTATTGATTACTGTGATATAATTTTAAGCATATTAAAATTATTAAAAATAGCCTATTTTTTTTTAAATAATATATTTATAATATTGTGTAAATGATACAGAAATAAGAGGGAAAAAATTCTATTTAAATTTAATTAATCAATTTGATCTGAGAAATTATAGGTTTTGGTGATGTTTTAAGGGCGATTTTGTTTATCGTTTGATTATTAAGTTTTCTTATTGGTCTGTTACGACGGTGACGGGAGAGGAAGCGATAGTTCATTGTATGCTAGCTTGTAGTCGTATTTGGAGGAGGTGGAGTTACGAGGTGTGCGTGTCGCGCAGGGCATGGCGGAGACCGCGTTCGCGTGGCTGTGGTCGCGCGGCGGGCGCGCGCGCGCGCTGCTGGTGCGGGCGCTGGGCGCGCGGCAGGGCGCGCGGCTGCGCGGCTGGCTGCGCGCCGCGCCCGGCCGCGCGCCCGCCGCCGCGCTGCTGGCGCTGCACGCGCGCCGCCACGCCGCCGCCGCCGCCGCGCTCGCCGCCCTCGCCGCCGACCGCCGCTCGCGCGCGCGCGCCGCCGTCAGTACACCCCGCGCTCCCTTATACCGTACTCGTTCAACATCATCATCATCCTACGGCTCGCCATACACAGGCTGCTCGTCCTCATCTCCCACAACCTCAATACTCGCGTACTGCACGGTGTCAGACATGTTTCCCACGTCAAACACTCAGCTTGTAGAATGAGTTCCTTGCCGAGGTTTTTCCAAGAGACTACAGTATGAGGTTCTTCAAAAGGGGGTAAAGAGGTTTCTTCAGGGTCGGCAACGCGCGCGTAATACCTCTGGTATTGCAGACGTTCATAGGCTACGGTAACCGCTTACCATCAGGTGGGCCGTATGCTTGTTTACCACCTCAGTGGTATAAAAAAAAATTAAAAATATTGTAAATGTAAAAAAATACAAAAAAAGAATAAGTTTTAAAAAAAAATCCAGTTATTACCAAAAATAAACGATAATACTAAAGTAACTGCAAATAAATATAAATAAAAAATTAAAACATGTAAATGCACCAACCTTCCAAAATAAAAATTTCATAAATACTTTAAACTTACTTTTTACAGCACGTTAATTAATGCAATATATTATTACAACCTTCTTTGAGATAAATCAAAATTGCCGTACTGGGCAGATACATGCGGGCAGCGGCAGGCAAAAGTTGTAGAAAATCCATATCTGTCGTGTTTTGCGTTCAGATAAATTATTATGTAAACTCATATCTGTCCTGTAATTTAAAAATGGAATGACCTTTTACTTCGAAACATGGCAACCAAGGAGGTAACTAATAAAAGGTTTTATTTAAATTTCGAACTGGATTGCAAATAGAAAGCTGTTTATTGAAAAAAAAATATAAAGGAACATTATGGCGCGTGAAAAATTATTATTGTTCGTTATTCGTCATTGAAGTTAAAAAGTAAAATTGTGTTTTTGATTTCCGCGAATTGTTTGAGAAGAGTACTATACAAGCCTTGGCCACAACTAGGCATTGATGGATGTGCCTTGGCTACGCCTCGGCCCACATTTGCACGTTCGTCCATCAATGCCTCAGTTGCTGGCCGCTGCAGTAATGTACTATTAATTACCACATCACCAATTGGTTCACCTTGGCGACAGACGATAGCGTCGCTGGCGAAGTTATGCGCGGTGGCTTCGGAGGACGACTGGACAAAAAGCAGCGCCTTCGCCGAGGCCGAGTGGCAGCTGGCGCTCGCCGACCACGTGGCGGCGCTGCCCAGCGAGCTGCGGCTGCGGCACGGGCTCGGCGGCGACGACTCCGACGACGGACCCATGCCGCTGCCGGAGGAGCTGGTGCAGGTAAGCACCATGATGGCAACTGGAGACATTACTGGTGATGGTGGTGAAGGGATAGGCATGAGTTTTTTAAAGTGAAAATTTCTTCATTGGCGTAGTGCGTTTTTTGAGATAGAAAAAACCATTGAATTCGCGGCACTGTTACCATTACCGTAACGTCACGATGGGCCAACCTGCTGGGCTGACCTGCTTTTATTCTCACTAGTCGCCTCGCCAGCGTATACCGGTAACACAGACGGGGTTACCGTTCCATTATCACCCATTAAAAAAAACCCTGGCTTTTTTTTAATGGGTGATAATGGTGTAATTGGTAAAATTTCTATGTACTGACGTACCACACCATAGTTAGGAATAGCAATGTATAAAAAATGCATGTGTGTTCAATGTGTTTTATAATATCCATGGTGCCTTTCATGTCTACGGTTCGACGGTTGTTCTTTTCCATCAATCCATATACTGAATTACCGTTTACTAATTCGTACAATAACATTTGCAGATTTACATAGAATCGGACAGCAAGACGCTAACAGAATACGACTATAAGAAAGCTCTAGACCTCACCGACTACGTGCAAGACATGGAGCGGAGAGATGACCTTCGGCTTAGGGTATGATTTGTTTTCACTGGACATATTTGCACAACGCTATCTATTTTTTTTTATACAACATAGAATGGCAAACAAGCTGACGGCCCACCTGATGGAAAGTGGTAACCATCGCCTATAGACATGAGCAGTACCATAACAGAGTATACTGTTTCGCCCATGATACCACCCATGCGTTGACATTCCTGAGGACTCAGGTGTTACTCCTCCGTACCCAGTAAATTCACGCCATATCCTACCCTTCAAACTGAAACACAGCCATGCAAACACAACTGCTTCACGGTAGAAACACGAATGGGATAGAGGTACCCAAGCAATCGACTTTTGTACAAAGTCTCCCTCTGGTAAAACCCGAACCTACTTTTTTGTAACAAATTACTACAGAATAAATACAACTTTTTATAGTAAAAGAATATTTAAAAAGACAAATTTTTGTATTGTGCTGGAATCGAATCTGTGTTTATCGAAACGTGAGGTCATTTGTCTTTGGTGATAAACGATTGACGTTACAACGTTTAATTTATATCATCATTATTATGTTAGCCTTTAACTGACCACTGCTGGACATACGCTTCCCACTTGAGGGAGGGGTTTGTTAGTAGTTGACACGCTTGGCTGGCGGATTGGCAGCTGTAGTTAGGCTTTGGAGATGTTTTAAGAGGGACGCTGCTGCCCATCCCTCGCTGTCACTTAGTCGCCTCTTACGACACCCATGGGATTAACCTATTTATGCCAAGACCACATGACCAAATCGTGTACGGTAAATTCCCGTTGTCCAATGATATATAAATGTTTTATCGGGCTGGTCTGGCTCCTGTGTGCGGCAGGTGTGGTGCGCGAGCATCCGGCGGGACGCATGGGCGGCGGGCGGCGCGGCGCAGGAGGTGCTGCGCGAGAAGGTGTTCTTCCGGCTCGTCGACCTCGTGCACCTCATGGGTGAGTGCAGGCGTCCGTAACGCGAACGGGGGCAAGTGGCGAGGGACAGTAATAAAAGTGAAAGTAAAGCAAAAGTGAAAATATAAACTAATAGCAACAAACTACCGCCACATGATCTAAAAAGACTATAACGTATGGCTTTTTGAACCAACTTTAAAGAAGGATGTAATTCTGAATTCGGTTGTATTTTTAATGTTTGTTATTTTTTTTTATACAACTTAGAATGGCAAACAAGCTGACGGCCCACCTGATGGAAAGTGGTAATCGTCGCCTATAGACATGAGCAGTGCCATGGACATAACAGAGTATACTGTTTCACCTATGATTTGCGGCGCCATTTATAAACCGATTTGGAATATTCATTTATATATGAAAGGATAAACTTTCAGATTGGTATAAATGTGCTCGCCTTTTATAGGTACTTGTATCAGATCTAATCTATATATATATATATATATAACTCAAAAACGGGCTCACCTAGCCAAACCAAATGTTTACACTTTGTTCGAACTATTTAGTAGCTGGTTTATGTGAAGTTTGCACAAAATCAGTCGAGCGGCTCTTCATTTATCACATTTTTTGTAACAAATGAATTCATTAAATGGCGGATCATTTTGTTAATGGGGATTTTTGTGTCAAATTCAAACTTTTTTTAAGATGGGTATTGTGCTGTCAAGTTAAAACTTTTTTCAGTGTTGACAGTACAAGCGTATTTTTATGTCATTCATGCGGTCATTTAAAATTATTTGTTTTTATTATTTCACTTTATACGTAGCGAAGCACGTACCGGGCCGCTAGTTTTGTTAAATTTTTCATTTAATGTCATACATATTAGAAATTGTATTAAAATCACTTTAGTAGTTTAATTTTTAAATAACTGATTTTGATACAATTATAGTTGATTTTTTTTTTTTTGTAAAACACAATCTTATGTATGTTTATTCCCGAAGCTTTGTTTAAATAATCAGCACTAGTAAGGTTTAGTTTGATGGTGATTGAATCTGGCGCAGGCGGCGACGTGGAGGTGCTGCTGCCGCCGGCAGAGGACGTCCTGACGGCGCCGGAGCTGGCCGAGCTGGCATCCGACCCGCAGTTCCACTACCTCATCAAGTACGGCTACCAGTGCATCCACACCAGCCGCACCGCCACCGACCAGCCGCTCACCGTCGACGCATAAACCGCCTGATAACGGTCAAAGATCGACGTGTGGTCCCGCCATAGATTAATTCTCTTAACGTCTCTTACGATACCCACGGCAAGGAAGTGGTGGCCCATTCAATTCCGGGACCATATGGCTGACTCCATTCTCTCTAATCTCATAATATGACTGCGCGTATCTGTAAACTTCTCTCAAGTCTTAGGATGGGTATTACATAAGAGGTCTGGGGTAAGCTATCAAACTTTACTATATGGTTATTGAATCTCGTGAAATACACAAACATTCTTGTACAGGATTTTTTCATAAACTCCTTCTCAGAAATATATATTTAATAAAGGTCCAAGGGTGCATGACTTCTTTCAAGTGGGTATTAATAAATTTGCTGATACATCTCTGTATTTATATTACTAAATAGCCAAAAATAAACTTGCTTCTTAACTGTGAAAGTCTTACTCCGCGGTTATCACAGACTGTTCTAATTATGATTACAAAATTAAAGCGTTACATATTGTTTAGCAATTGAATATATGTATTTGTTCAGCATTTATAATATGATTTTAAAATTTGATAATATTTATGTATTCAAGAATTATTTGTTGTCGTATGAAGAGTTAAAAAAACAGATTTACAGTAAATACTTTATTTTAATATTTAATTAACTTTTTAAAATGTTTGTTGGATGAAATCTCTTAGAGATAAACTCGCTTTTGTACATTACGTTTAAAATCAATTGTTCTTACGTTTGTGTACAACAAAGAATATGAGTTCTAATGTGTTAAACAAACCGGCGCCTGCGACTTCATTCTCGTCAAATATCTAATAATGTCTCCCAGTGTGCTGTTCTGTTACAAAAAGTTTAAATACAATCAACGTGTAAAGTGTGGGGGAGGGATAGTTAATTATGCGGACTACCAGTCCCATTACTAGCAATATGGGTATATCAAGTCGACCTCCACGTGGTCCCCACTGGAAGTCGTCATGCTGAATTCCAATATTCATCGCGATGGGCTAACTGACCTATATTTTCGTCGTCACTTATTGAAGGGGAGGCGAAGCGGGGATTTTTGCAGTGACTCGAGCGTGTCAGATAATTATATGGAGAAAATCCTTGTACTCTTTAATATATACCTCTATATCATACCTACTTGTACAACAATTAGTCCATTACCTTAAGGTTGTCTTGAAAAGATTGCTCTCAGCAATAAGGCCGCCTTACTGTACTTATACAACTGTATCGTTGTGTTTGTAAATTGTCTCGCTTATTTTCTATATTGTATAATGCAAATAAAGTATACTCATTCATTCATTCATTCATATACTTTTAATAAACTTTTTTCGTTTTAAAACATAAACTTTTGAATTTAATAAGTTTCCATGACGCTCGGGCAACTGCAAATTTAGTATAGAGAATGAAAGACAGGTCAATTAGCCCATCGTGATGAATACACTTGGAATTCAGCACGATGGTTTCCATGGGGACCACGGGGAGGTCGGCCTGCTAGGGTATATTGTTAGCAATAGGAATGATAATGCGCATTACTAACAATCCCTTCCCCCCTATTTGACTGCTTTGGACTGTTGTGCTATACCTTATTTTCATTATTTGTTCCTCACTTTAGACTTAGTCTGTTTAGAATAAATATATTAAGCTATATAGGCTAAGTAATATATAGGTAGACATGATAATGCCACTAAAACTGGGTTATCAAAACGCGGCACGGATGGCCCTTTCTTACAGCTTGGCATATATATTTATTTATTGATTAAAAATAATTACAACATCAATGTTATAGACCTAGTGTGCTAACATACAAAATTAAAATAAATATATTTAACCCGACTCGAAATATGTCTGAGCCACTTCTAATATCTTTGGCAGGCTACTACCAAAAATATCAATGGTGTTTATAATATTTAATAACCGTACTGCGAACAAACTACCCTGACATCAGAGTAGCAGCCTAGTATAACGTTTACCCTTAGATTATATAAATACAGTGTCTCCATACAAATGCTTCGACAAAAATGGCTCAACTTTTTCATACAACTTTGCGTGATAAATAGTTATGAGTGATTCCTTTATAACTTCTATATTTATTTTGTCTTATAAATTCTGCATATTTTTAACTGCGTAAACACTCATTTTATTTATTAAATAATACGTTAAGGTACATTTTATGCGTAAATATGTAGAATACTGATAAAAAAACGAGTCAAGTTAAAAAGTTGACTCGTTTTTGTGGCTAGATGGCTCTGTCTATATAATCTAAGCGTGTAACCATACCACCTGATGGGCTAACTACATTAATATTGATATTGAGATAAACTGAAAATGTAATGTAATAACATTTTTTTTATGCAACTTAGAATGGCAAACAAGCTGACGGCCCACCTGATGGAAAGCGGTAACCGTCGCCTATAGACATGAGCAGTATTATGGACATAACAGAGTATACTGTTTCGCCCATGATATTCCCCATGCGTTGCCATTCCTGAGGACTCAGATGTTATTCCTCTGTACCCAGTAAATTTACTGTCATAAGATTACTTCAGGGTAGGGGGTAGGAAATGTGTACGTGAAACACCTCTACTCCTGCAGCTTACAATGACCGTTAATCATCAGACTGGCTGTATGCTTGTTAGCCACCTTTGCAGTATACAATAAAGTCATCGCTATGTTTCAAAGATGCCTCCCGTGTCCGCAAATAAAAACTCACCATTCGATATATTCAGTCAGACTGATTTAGATTTAAGCTAGATAAGTTATTTTTAGACTTAATATAATTAAGTATAAGTTGGCAGTGTTGAAGTGTTCTTTATTGTTTAATCTCTATATGTTAACCCTTAAAAGCCTTGGGAGGAAAGGGATTGTTAGTAATGGAGACCAAAAATCCCATTGCTAGCAATATACCCAACCAGGTCGACCTCCTCGCGGTTCCCTCTGGAAACTATCATCGTTAATTCCTGATGGATTCAACATGATGAGCTGACTGGCCTGTTTTCATCCTCATCGATCACCCATCACTGGTGCCCCGCCAGCGTATCCCGATAACGCAGGCGGGGTTACCATTCTATTATCATCCATTAAAAAAAACCCTTAAAAGCCTGGTTTTTTTAAATCAAATTAAAAAAAATATATAAGTGTTACTTTACTTTACTTTACTGTGTTTACTAATTGGGGAAAATAGTAAAAAAATCAAAACGATATTTTTATAAATTTATTTTGAAAAAAAAAAAAAAACATTTGGTAACATGTAAACAGCCAAATATTAAAATAAAATCGATTGTAGGCGCCCAATGCGATTTATAACTCCGGTATCAAATTTGAAACTTCAAGTATTTAAGGGTTAAATTAATTTTATAATAAATAACTAAAACAATTTTTAATTGACGTCAAAAAGAAGGTGGTAATCAATTTGCTTGTATTTTTTGTTTGTTACCCTCATTACTCGGTCAGTTGTATTTTTATCTGATAGTTAGATAGATAGATAGATAAACACTTTATTTGAGCCATTGATGACACAAGTAAATTAACAAATGAGTTCATACAATCAAATTAATTGCATCTTTTTAAATATAAAACAAAAGATAAAATATGAAAATATGTTTTCGCCATGTGTGTCGCAGTGAGCCAAATATGCAACAGCTCAGTGATAGTTTTGCTTAAAAGCAAAGCACTGATTTTCAGCTGCAACCTAAAACTTTATTAAAATCGCTTCGGTAGTTTAGTTTTTAAATCAAAATAACAAATTTTGTCACAGTTGAAGTCGGTCTTTGAGGATCGCAATCTTAAATAGTACTATAAAGTATGCAGTAAAAAAATGCTATTGTTTGCGCTAAATAATTTAGACTGTACACACCATGAGTTGATGGGGTAAATATCATCCTTAGTTGTTTTTTTTTTTTTTAGATTTGGTTACCAGATTATCTATTAGTATACTGAAGCATTAATGTATTTTTCATAGGGTTTCACAGTTTTAAATTAGACTGGCGACTCCACCCGGCTTCGCACGTTTGCAATGTTTAAGTTTTACACTTTTCAACATATTTAAGTGAGGCTAGTTTTATTGGCGTGTGTTAAAGTACTGTACTTAAATTCTCTTAAGATTTTAAAATTAACAGTCTATTTAGCAATTTAATAAGCTTATATAGTTCCTCCGAACGTAGCACGGACTTTGCCTCTTTATTATATTAGTATATATTTCAAGGTGTTTTAGGAAAGTTTACATGGCTTTTTTTTTCAATTTGTTCTCTTTTTAATCATATATTTATATGATTAATAGTAATTAATACTTAATGCTGATAGGTGTAGGTTTTTTTTTTATACAATTTAGAATGGCAAACAAGCTGACGACCCACCTGATGGAAAGTGGCAACCGTCGCCTATAGACATGAGCAGTACCATGGACATAACAGAGTATACTGTTTCGCCCATGATACCCCCATGCGTTGCCATTCCTGAGGACTCAGGTGTTATTCCTCCGTACCCAGTGAATCCACGCCATATCCCACCCTTCAACCCGAAACACAGCCATGCAAATACAACTGCTTTACGATTGAAACACGAATGGGACAGAGGTACCCAAGACCCGGGAATAACTTAGATTAACCCACTAGGATCAGTTGGATATTGTCTGAAGATGGAGTCCAGAGTCTCCAGAACTGGTGTGCATGCGTGAGACGAGCTATGAAAGTTCATGAAGCAAGAGATGTATGTGAGGATAGAGTTTTTTGGCACTCCGCTGTCTCTGCCTTCCCCGCAAGAGACTTGGCGTAAAGATAGATAGATAGTGATAATAAATACTGTAATATTAATTCTAAGAGTATATCTAGTGAGTATTACTACTGTTAGCTCCATTAATACCTAAGTAATGCGAGTCTGATCCGTTACGTTTCTCCATAAATACATTGTAAGGACATTTGCGAATGAAGTCGCGGGCGTAGTTCTATAAGGAAACAGCCATTGTCTTGTTTTATAATTAAAAAATACATTTTTATTCTCTAATCATTAATATGTATAACATTCTTAATATAAGTTGTTAATTAATGATAATTAGTTAATTGAATTTATTATTTTTAATTAAAAATTCACATCAATCTTTGTGTTTCTCTGTCAAATTTACAATAAAAAATAATATTAAAAAAAAAAAAAAGATTTTTTTCTCTTAATTCCTGTTTCGCGCCAATACCTACTTCAAATACTGGCTGGATGTAAAACCAATAAAACAAACCATTCCTGCACTCGACAGTCGGCGAGCAGCCACCGGCCGCGTTGACGCATGCGCGCTGCGGCTTACCACGATTTACGTATTTGTTTACCACACATTCACGTAGTTCCGAATGGTGCAGTTGTCCCTCATTGTAAAAATACAATTTTTAATGTAAAGTACATGTTGATTGCTTGTGCTTTTGAAGTAAAATATTATTAAAAAATAGCAACAGTTACTGGACTGTGGAACAGCGGATTTAGTCCGTTTTTTAACCAGCTGGATCACGTAACGTAAGTAGTAGTTTAATTAAATATTTACATATTTTAATGTTTTTATTGATATATTTATTTTTTAAAATAATATACGACTATATTTTATTTGTTTATATCTAATGGCTAATTTATAACTGTACTTGCGTGCTGGTAAGAAAAGCAATCATTTTTCTTTATTGATAGGTATAGTTGATTATCATATCAAATTTTATTTTGAAAAGCAACCTTTTTATAATGTCTTGGAATTTTTAAATCAAAATACAATCAAATTTGAAATTATAACTTACGATATTTCAGTATTTTACCAATCTGTTTGCATATATGGAGTATCATGGGTGAAACAGTACACTCTGTTATGTCCGTGGTACTGCTCATGTCTATAGGCGACGGTTACCGCTTTCCATCAGGTGGGCCGTCAGCTTGTTTGCCATTATAAGTTGTATAAAAAAAAATTGTCTTGTATTAATATTTATATTATTCTATCAATTTATAACTATTGAATTTATACATATATAATCAAAATAAAAATGCTATATCAATTTTGAAAATACTGTAATTTAATGATAGTACTGTCCGTTTATTATATTTGTACTGTAACACAGGACGTGCCAAAAATGTAAAGAAGTTTTTTTTTTAAATATGAAATATGTTAACATCTTAAATCGGGAACCATTTGTACTATTTCCATTGGTTTTTTATCTAATTCTACCACTGAGATCCTAACGATATGACAAACTTGAAACTTTTTAAACATGTTTGATTGTTTATCATGTATAAAAGGCTAAATTGATTTGAAATTTAGACAGATCTAGATGTAGAATATTCTTATCTCGATACACATGGGTAAAATAGCAATATATCTCTAATAGTATAAAAAGGGGGGGGGGGGAGAAAATATTAGTATTAGATTCTAACAGCTCCACTGCTAACAATTAGGTCGACCTTCACGCGGCTTCCCCTGGAAACTATCGTGGTTAATTCATGAATACGTTACGATAAGCTAACTAAGCAGCTTTTTCATCTCACCTATCACCCCTCACTGGTGCCCCGCCAGCGTATACCGTTAGCACAGGCGGGGTTACCATTCCATTGCCATCCTTTAAAGAAAATTGGCCAACTGACCTGCCTTTATTTTTATCGTTTCACCCTGCACTGGTGTCCCGTCATCGAATACCGTTAATATTTTTTTTTATTTTTTTTTTATGCAACTTAGAATGGCAAACAAGCTGACGGCTTACCTGATGGAAAGTGGCAACCGTCGCCTATAGACATGAGCAGTACCATAGACATAACAGAGTATACGTTTCGCCCATGATACCCCCCATGCGTTGCCATTCCTAAGGACTCGGATGTTATTCCTCTGTACCCAGTAAATTCACGCCATATCCTACCCTTCAAACCGAAACACAGCCATGCAAACACAACTGCTTCACGGTTGAAACACGAATGGAACAGAGGTACCCAAGCAATCGACTTTTGTACAAAGTGTCCCTCTGTTAAGCGGGGTGAACCGTTCCATCTTCAACCATAAAAAAAAAACACAAGATAATTTTTATTGATTTACGCGAGCAATGCCGCTGGATACAGCTAGTTTAAAATAAAAGGTTCTAATGTTATACAGTCATTTAATACAAAGACCAATTTAATTTCATGCATAAATAGATTTAACGTTCGCGAACCGAAATAAAAGGTAGTCTATAACGCTCTCTAAGCTCTCTAACGCCGACAACTATGAGTTACTTTTACCCCCTGACGTTGACCGTGTGACCTGGATTCTCGGGATCATTCTAAGTAGTATTAAGATTTCATGAATGGATGGGGCAACGAGGATATCCCCAAAAGAACTAAAGTAACCGACATAGCTCGAAGGACAAGCAAGCTGAACTGGCAATGGGCTGGTCAACATATCTCGAAGAAGCGATAAATGATAGGAAAGAAAGGTTCTTGAGTGTCGACCTCGTACAGGCAAACATATAGTATGACGACCCCCCACTAAATGGAGTGACGACCTGAAATGCATTGCAGGGAGTCAGTGAATGCAGGTGGCTCAGGACCGTTCTTTATGGCAGTCTATGGGGGAGGCTTATGTCCAGCAGTAGACGGATTATGGCTGAAATGATGACGATGATGGGGCAATAAACAAATAAATTCACTTTCACATTTACAATATTAGCAAAAATTAAATCTCGATAATAGACATGGTAAAAAACTCGAATCTTAGTGGCTGTGTCCTATACGACAGGCAACAGCAAGAAACGGACGTCTAGGAATGCCATATTCGTCACATGGATACTGAACTATTCGGGTCACGTAGGTAGCCACTGTCTGCGTCTCCAAGTAGTCTATTAGGAAACTGATTTTAAAGCGTCCAATAATATGTAATAAAGTATAAATTATATTATACTTTGAATTTAACCATCTGAGATGACAGTTCAGTGTGGCAGGATTCGAATCCGCAATAGTTATCCGAGCCGACTGTGTTTCTAGTTAGACTATTTTTTTTTTTTTTAATTAGATAATAAGTACTTATAATTATTCTCCTTAATGTTTTACGCTGTTAACTTTCTTAATTGTACAATAATATGATACCTACTTGTACAACAATTAGTCCATTACCCTAAGGTTTTTTTTTAATGAATGATAATGGAATGGTAACCCCACCCGCGCTATCGGTATACACCGGCGGGGCACCAGTGAAGGATGATAGATGAGGATGAAGCAGGTCAGTTAGCCCATCGTGACGATGGGCTACGTGACGAATTCAACAAGAATTGTTCACGATGGTTTCCAGGGGGAACCACGTGGAGGTCGACCTAATAAAGCATATTGCTAGCAATGGGGCTGTCAAACTCCATTGCTAACAATCCCTTTCCCCCCATTACCCTAAGGTTGTCTTGAAAAGATTGCTCTCCGATAAATGATAAATGTAACGATACAATTGTATCGTTACATTTATTAATTGTCTTGCTTATTTCTTACATTATTTAATGCAAATAAAGTATACTTATTAATTCTCCTATTCAATGTATAAAAAAAAAAAAATCTAGTGGCAAATATCTCAAACTCTATTGTATTTAAAATTAGACCAGTTAGTTTAATTTCTGCCAATCAGCTGCGCTACAGACTCAAATAATCACCCCGAATAAACCATTCTTAAAAACAAAAATCTGCATTGAAATTGATCTGTCCGTTTAGCGGCTTTTTTTTAATACATAAATTACTTTAAATTTGCAAATTTCTGTAAGCGACAGGAATTTTGGGATATCTTTGGCAGCCATATTTTTTATCTTCATAAAATATACAGTGAAATTACCAAAGGAGATCATTCCTGTCTGGGTGTGCTTTTTAATGTGATGTACCCCGCCTGAGCTGTTGATGTACGTTGGCGGGGTACTAGCTTATTTTTTTAATGGATGATACTCGTAATAAAATGGTTACTACGCCTGCGTTATCGGTATACGCTAGCAGAGCATCAGTGAAGGATGATAGGTGAGAACAAAAAGGCAGTTAGCCTGGAATTTAGCACGATGGTTTCCAGGGGGCACCGCTTGTAAGTCAATATGACAGGGTATATTGCTTACAATGGGATTGGTAGTTTGCATTACGAATTATTCCTTCCCACGGCGGGGTACTAGTGAGGGATGTTAAACGAGGATGAAATCAGGTCATTTGATATATTGGGGCGAAATTATCATTAATTAATACCATCATTTTGGGGGGAAAGGGATTGTGGGATGAGGTCTAATAGCCCCATTGCTAGCAATATACCCTCTCAGGTCGACCTCCATGCGGTTCCCCCTGGAAACCATCATGGTTATTTCTTGTCGAATTTATCATGGTGACCCAACTGACCTGCATTCATTCTCACCTATCATCTTCCACTGGTGCCCCGCTGATAAATACCGATAGCGCAGGCGGGGTTACCATTCAATTTTCAACTATTAGAAAAATGCCATCATTTTGAGCGGAGCTCACGTGGATGTAGGTATTACCTTATGAGCTACACTTCATTACCAATACTCTCTTCCCCTCAACCTTGCTAGGCTGTCCGGGTTGCAATCACATTCAGTTGCCTTTTCATGCCGCAGTAAGTGCAACTCTAGTTTACTGGCGTGAATTTACTGGGTACAGAGGAATAACACCTGAGTCCTCAGGAATGGCAACGCATGGGGGGTATCATGGGCGAAACAGTATACTCTGTTATGTCCATGGCACTGCTCATGTATATAGGCGACGGTTACCGCTTTCCATCGGGTGGGCCGTCGGCTTGTTTGCCATTCTACGTTGTATAAAAAAAAAAAACTTTAATTTAGTGTACTTTGACGAACAAGCAGTATCCTCGAGGACTGACCACGTTGCCTTTAGTACTTGCTAAACGTTTGTAAGTACTTAATAGTTGAGATTAGAGCACGCTCCAGTAGTTACAGAGGACGCGTGACGCTATTCACTGTCGGCGATTGTTGAATGAGAAAAAGTATTGAATTACCTGGCTCATTACGATTTGTAACTGGTTCACGGTTGTGGATAAACTAAACGCTTTACATAACGTGTAAATTTGTAATATTTGTAACCCGTTGTGTACGTATCGAGACACGATCACTGTGAATTGCGATTTAAACACACTAATAGTAGAAAATGCTTATACATAAAAAAGAAACAGTGTAACCTCTCCTTTTTGGGATTTTTTTTACAAAAGGGTCTTTATATTACTTTAGTACAAAGTAAATAAAATCTTAATGCTTATTAAGACTTTAGATTGTTTATATTTCAAATCGAGCAAGAGATCGTTGGGCATTCGTTAAAATTCGTTTAGAAGGTCTTTTAAACTATCCCTTTTGTAAAAATTCCTGACAATAGATGGATATAATTTTGTCGATGCGTTATCTATTAAATAAGTTTAAAATGTAAAGATTTTTTTTTATTTACGGATTTGTTTAATTCAGGAGCTTCAAATTGTTCGGTCACGCTCGACTCGCTGTAAATGCTCTGCGCAAACTCACCGAAGGCGACATGATATT